AGAGACGACGGGGTCTACTCGGCGCTGCTGAGGCTCGCAATGTTTGGCTGTGTGGACGCAGTGATGATAGGAGGTCCTACTTGCAGGACCAGAAGCGAGTTGAGGCGCCGCCCCATGACGGGCATGCCCGGCGCAGGGAGCCTAACGGGACCATGGGCCTTGGATGAGTTGGGCGAAGTAGAGCGTGCAAAGTGTCACCTTTAGGCGATGCGCCGCTGTTTCGCAGGGTGACGCTCTTCCTGGCTGCTTGCTATGGACGCGACGCCAGACTTGGCCAGGAGAAGAAAGCCTCCTGCCGCAGGTCAAGTTCCTCATGGAGTGTGCCGCGTTTTGGAGAATGGAGGAATGGGGGGCGATGAAGGCGTACCTAGGCTTGGGCCTCGTGACCTTCAACCAGGGAGCATATAGGGGCATGGCAGTGAAACCAACCTCATTGGCGCTGAACATGGAGTTCGATGCGCCGGAAAATCGAAGACCTCCAAAAAGGCTTTCCTCAAGGCGAAGCACGAGGTGAGCAGTTCAGACTTGGCTCGATGGGCACCCTGGCTTGGTGGCAGGGATTGCCCGGAAGATCGCACCCGAGATCCAGAAAAAGAGGATCGTCGTGAAGGCGCTGTCCTGGCAAGAGCATTTTGCTCAGGGACTTGTTCCTTTCCGTCGTGACTCCCCCAGCCACATGTAGCATTAAGATGCCTCATCGCTTGATAGGCAGTGTCTGTAGCCCACTTTGGCGCCCTGCCGGCAGCGGAACAGATTCGACTGATCGCATAGGCAATGGGCGTGAACTGGGCGTGTCTTGGTCGCGGGGTCAGAGTAGTTCGCCGGCCAGTTGTTGCGCCTCCTTCACCTGCAGGTCAGGTGTTTAATTGAGCTCTGCTTTGGGCTCTTGACGGTCTTTCATGGCCAGTGTCTTCGCAGCACTTCCTTCAGCTGCACTGGTTGGTCCACAGTACCGTACAGGTTCTCCAGCGCCGACCCAAGTTGGCTCTGAGGTCTCCCACGTTCGTCGAAAACCTTGCCTCGAACAATGGTCCAGGTCATGCCGATCCTTGGCTGCAGCGTGTTGCCAACACCGCTCCGGTGTGGAAGAGCTGCAAAACAGTATCAGCGGTCGGCTGAAGCCGAGGTGATTGAGGCGGCGGTTGTGGGGGACAGTGTAGTGTGCTTGGCCGGTGAGATGACTGGAGGAATTGCGCAAATTCCTGGAGTGTGACAACGCGGCCGCGGTGTCAAGAGCCAGCAGCGCAACGGGCGCCGGGGGAACACACCGGTGGAAGGTACGCGCAGCGCATCTCAAATGAAAGTTGCAGTCTGGCACCTGGGAGCTGAAATATCTGGTCGCGAGCTCATTGCAGGCGCCAAATTGCTCCCGGTGGCCCGTGTGAGCGAAATGAGGGACGGGGTGGCAAGGTTCACGGGGCAGCGCAGGAGAACTGAACCAACAGCACCTCACAAGGCAAATGCGGAAGAGGGCAACTACATCCTCATGGCCGTGTCATGGCTTTTTGGTGCTTTGACAGTGGTTTTGGGCGTGGCTGGTCAAGATCTTGGAGAGAGTCCGACGAGCGATGCGCTATGAGGCCCCCGGCTAACCAACTACGCGCCCGTCGCTGAAGATCGACTTCATGAAGGAAGAGCTTCATCGTCCACATCAATTTCTGAGGACTTTGAGGGTGGAAGCGGTGCGTGGGCCGATGGATGCTGAGGCAAAACCACATGAAGAGCTGCCCATTGCCTCAATCGATCAGTAGGTGATTCAAAATCGTCGTCGAAGGCAAACGGTGCGACGCTATGAGCCTTGGCGAGCGTGGTTTCTGACACTGGCATGTCTTCTGACATTCTGATTATCTTTCTGGCCTATCTTCTGACATTCTTTCTGGCATATCTTCTGACATTCTTTTTGACATACCTTTTGACATTCTTTCTGGCATATCTTCTGACATTCATCCTGGCATTCTATCTGGCATATCTGCTGACACTGTTTCTGGCATATTTTTGCGACGTCCTTTCTGACATTTTCTCTGGCACATCTTCTGACATTCTTTCTTGCATATCTTGGCATTCTTTCTGACATTCTTTCTGGCGTATTCTATCTGGCATTTCTTGCGTACCTTCTGCATTGGCGTTCTATCTGGCATATCTTTTGACTCGCGTTTGAGGTGCGGCGGGGAACACTGCCATCCGGCCATCCGGAACTGGCGGTTGAGCTGGCGGGGAACACTGCCGTCCGGAACTGGCGTTTGCGGTCCAGCAGGAACACTGCTGTTCGAAGTTGGGTTGGGGTGCAGGAGGAAACACTGCCCTCGAGCTGGCGGTTGTGGTCCGGCAGGGAAGACTGCCGTTGGGAGCTGGCGGTGGAGGTCCGGCGGGGAACGCTGCCGTCCCAGTTGCGGTCCAGCGGGAACACTGCTGTTCGGAGCTGGTGCTTGAGGTGCGGGAGGAAACACTGCCCTCGTGAGCTGGCGGTTTACGCGAGGCAACCTAACATAAGATCTAACAACCCTCGAAAAACACGAATGTGGGCAGGCGTGGTCTCCAAGCACTGCAGCTTAATGTTGACTCTTGATTAATCAACCCCCCCCCCGCCCCCCCCCCCCTCAACAACCAGGGCCTCCAATATAATCTACTAGAAACCAATCAAAGGACCAAAATGAAATGATTCATTATAAGCCAAAAGCCTGTAAGATAAGCAAATCCCAGCAAACTCAAAAGAGAAAAAGTAAACTATAACAATAAAAAATATTCCACTACAACTATCCCTGCTATAAAAAAAAGACATTATTCTGGGGGCCTTTATTAATCTGTGCAGGAAAAAAAAGACATTATTCTAGGGGGCTTTATTAATCACAGGTCAACATTATCTTTACAAACAACGAAAGCAGGTTCTTTGTGGGTCAGACTTGTTAGGTAGCACGATGCGAAAATATTGTGAGTCGTGAGCTTCTGTAAAGAACTCTGTCATCACTTTCAGCCCATTCTGTGGCCAAGTCAAGCTGTGGAGTCAAAGCACTACCAGAACACAACAGGGGTGGCTTTGTGTTTAAGCTTGGAAACTTTTTAGTTTCACTGGTTGGTGCAATCTGTGTTTCAGATAGCGCTGATCGCAGACTCCAATTTTTTTAAAAAGTTCGTTCATTGCTACCCTGCGTCCAATGCGAATCAATGTCGCCTTGGCAAGTGGGCGTGCCATTTCTTTGGGGGCACTTCCAGACAGTTCCGTACACCAAGTGTAGCTAGAAACTGAATTGCTTCTCGGGGTCAGTATCCGATGCTTGGTCACTAGCGACGCTTTGGATGCCAACAGTTCTCCAGGAGATGCTGGCCTGCAAGAAGAAGACACTGTGACACCTCTGGTGCGGCAATCCCGCTTGGTGTCCGGCCGCTGGTCACAAGCATTTGAATTTGCGAAAAACAATGGAACAGTGGAAACTTGGGGTCGTCCTTGCCTGGGTGGTATTATGGGCTTTCAAGTGGAAGGACAGCTGAAGGGTTGCCATGACATCGTGGCCATGAGGGGACTTTGAGCATGGGGGTAGCGCTCCGGTGTCCAAGAGAAGCGGCTCAATATCTGTCAAGTCGTTGCCGCAAGCAGTGCCTTTGCTGCGATTTGTACAGATGCAACACTGGTCTCGTGGGGTGATCTGGCAAATGGCGGCGACAGCAGCAATGTGAAAAACCAGTTGCAGTCGGTAAAATGCATACAAACATCTAGCAGTGCATTTGCAGCTATTCGCTACTGACAGATGTTGAGCAGATTGAATCCAGCAACAGTGCTTTCGCTGCCATCAAGTCGGACATGGCTGTAGTTTGTTGGGGTCTTTCTGACTTTGCAGCAGAGTCTCTGGGCTGCGGAATGTCGAAGCTATTGTCGGCTCCTGCACTGGTGCTCTTGCTGCGATGCGTTCTGATCGATGTGACTGCGTAGGGTAGTCCCTGATTTGGTGGAGACTGCTGCAATGTCTTGGATCAATTGAAGCAGGTCCAGGAGGTGGTTGCTTGCCATGCTGCTTTTGCTGCAATTATGTTGGATGGAACAGTCGTGACTTGGGGCGCTTCGGAATGCGGAGGTGATAGCAGTTGCTCGGCTCAGCAATCAACTATTGGTCCACCGTTCAAACATGCCGCTGTCTTGTTCCAGGAAACAACTCGATGTCAAAAGCACAGGGCACTCGGCGATTGTTTGTTATTATGGCATAATGTTGGATTTATTTGTCCTTGCCAACTTTACAAGGTAAACAGTCCTAGTCTTGTCCACACGCATATTGTTGCTTAACTTTGCCAGCTTCTTTGCTGAACCATTGAGGTGGCAAGAAAGGTGCTTTGTGTTTTCAGGTGAGGTTGGAGATTTGTCAAGCTCTGCTTTTGCGGCGTTGTGGCTGTGATGGGGTAGTGATTTGGTGGGGTGATCCGCGCGGTGGTGGTAATGCCAACGCCGTGCGCGGCCTATGCGGAGTGTCATCGATCTGAAGGCCTCCAAGGGTGCCTTTCCCGCGGTGCTGCGTGACTGTGGTGGTGGTGTTGAGATCCAAGATAGCAAGTGCAAATGAGTGAAAGGGTGGCATCGACCAACATTCTTTCAGTGCGTCAACTTGTAAATAAGTCATGTTCTATCCGCACAGAGGCGGTTGAGATACTACTTTGCAGAGTTTTTTGCTGATAAGAAAGACAACTCTCCGCGGTTCAAGGGTCTAGTGCAATGAAGAGACGATGCCTTGCACTTCATAGTGCCCAGCTCTCTAAATTATCTTCAAACTGCTTTGATGCAGGTAACTTTGCGTATACGTCTATCTGAAACTGCAAACTTCAGCAGGACACTATGTGCCCAAAGGTTCATGTTGACATTGAAGGGGACAGGTTGTGACACTCAGCGCAGCCCGCAAGATGGAGAGGTTGGTACATCATGCAAACTACAACAAATCAACAAAGAAACACAGCATCGTTGCAAGAGACTATCGTCAGATTCAGAAGCAAAAGACTAAAGATATTCTATATATATAATAGCTAAAGACTATCGCGTGTAGTCGGTTGTGCTGCTTTTGGATCGGTGACTTCACCTTGAAGAGGCGGGCATGGTATTACAGCAGACCGCGGCTGCGTTTGAGAAATGAGACAGCAACAAAAATGGGTCATTCTGATTCATTCTGCACTTTTTGAGTTTTTGGATTTCAATTTCAAGGCTCCAAGATGTCCAAGGACGACGACTACGACTATCTCTTCAAGGTGTGGAAAGCCATTCAACCACAACACATTTTCTGCCAGAACGGGATCAGCTTTTCATTTTTGTGGAGGGGGCGTCTTTGTGAGAGGGTTGCTTCGAGAGTCACGTTGTGAAGCAGGTGGTGCTCATTGGAGACTCTGGTGTGGGCAAGTCCAACCTCCTTTCCAGGACATGGTTTGCGCGAGCTCGAGTTTCCCTCACAGAAAATCATCGGTCTGCAGCCATTCAGACCTTCTTCGACTTTCACCATCTGCAGGTTCACACGTGACGAGTTCAATTTGGAGTCCAAGTCCACGATCGGTGTGGAATTTGCGACCAAGAGCATTACGACCAATGGGAAGGTCACAAGAAACCTGCAGACTAAGATGGAAGCATCTCGAGTCCTCAAGTCAAGTGCTAGAGAGTTATAATAGAGCTTGTGATGTGTGTATGCCAAGTAGTATGTTTGATGTTTTTTTGCTTGCAGCAAGTGGATGCACTTTGATTATTGGCGTTGGCCCTTTACGTGGAAGCAAGTGGACATTGAAGACCACCAGACCCCCACTTTCCAAACCTTTGCCTCGGCAGCATGCAGGTGATCAAGGCACAGATCTGGGACACTGCTGGGCAGGAGCGTTACAGGGCCATCACCAGCGCGTGCGCGTGGCATGAAGTCTGGAACACGATCTGCGCCCCCGAACACTTTCAGGTACTACAGAGGTGCTGTCGGCGCTTTGTTGGTGTTGCTTGGTTGCAGTTTTCAAGCAACCTGAAAAAGGCCATAAAGTGGCATCCACAACTCTTGAATTCTTGCATGAAGCTGAACTAGAAGTTGGAAGGGACCTGATGATTGCTGAGCACCTCAAAGGTATGACATCTCAAAGAGGGTCACCTTCGAGAATCTAGAGCGTTGGCTACAGGACTTGGCAAGTTTATGACAGCGGATGAGCAGCTTTCATTTCGAACAACATAATTTCATATAATTTCTATAAGGGGTAACCCACGAATTTGTGCGTTAGAAGGTTCAGGGCCCTCTTGATTAATTAATTTAAGGTTGGTGGCTAGATGTAGATTGGGTGTCCTGCAATAGGCGCATGCAGGAATGCTGTTGAACTTTCTGCTCCATCTCACTGTCAGTGCTATTGTCAGCAATATCCGCAGTGTGGAGAATATTGGTGTGCTGACGTAGATGTCGCCGAACTCGTTGATTGCTTGATTCTACATAGCCTTTTGCTACATTTCGTGCTTGCACCTCCATCATGTCTCTCAAGACCCATTTTGAGTCTATGATGTTGCTTTGTTGTTCTGGTGTGAGTGTGTTAAAGTGTTGTTCTGTGTGCACAGTTTGTTGCTGCATTGACCCTACTTCTTTCTTCATTCCTGCTTTCACCGTTGTTGGGTTCTGCATCGTAGACTATTGGGTCCACAAGGCATTGCTGTATGTCGTGTTGCTCTTGTTCATCCTCACATGATGCCGTAGTAATCTCCTCTCCTTTCCTTGTCGTGGTTGTTACTTGTGATATTCTTTGTTTCCGTTGTTGTTGCTCTGTTGGTCGTTTGAGTGTTGTTCTTTCCTCGATTGTTCTCTGTTGCTTCACTGTACTTCCTTTTGTCGTATCATTGCGTACTTCTCTCTTTGCGTCTTTGTGTGTGTGTGCCCCTTGTAGTCACAGGGATCCTTTCGGATTGTGTTTTGTTTTCTTTTGTTCAGCAGGGGAACGTCATTGTGTTGACATCGCAAGCTGACATGTTTGTCATGCTTGCCAAATTTTAGGTCCAAGATCGGGTGCCAAACTTGACCAAATTCAAGAGACACAGGTGCCAGGGATGCACACTGGACTGGCACCAACGAAGACGCCAGTGTTGCATCTGTGAAATCGATTTGGGATGCCAAATCGACGTACCTGCATGTTTTGACTTGGAATTTCCCAATGGTCCCTGCTTTTAACTACAACAAGATTCTGGCCTTTGCACTGGTTCTTCATCTGCAGACTTTGCACGTTCCGTCGTCCTTGTCGATCGATCGTTTCGTAACTTTGCAATTTGAAACCCAGAGCTTTGGAGGCTTGAGATTTTGGAACCGTGGAAGATCTGAACTCTGTTTTCTTAGGTTTTTCACTTAGGCTGGCGTGTGGCAACCGCTTTCAGTTCCGTACGCAAAATCATAAGTGTGTCTGGCTTAGTGCCAGCCCGGGATGAGCCCCCACAGTGCCTCCCGTGGACCCGTCGAACGGGGGTTAGTCTTTATCTCCCTTGCCTGGAGATGTACGTGCCCGGAGCGGGCGGAGTAGGCTTATGCCAAAGTTATTTGCCAAGACTTGCTGAAGTATTGAATTCCAAGCTGGCTCATGCCTTTACGTGACCGCAGCGGTCAAAGGTGGCAGCCTTCGGGCAGGCCGTACGTGGTCGCAGAGACCAAAGCTTGCTCAAGGTTCATTGGAACCTGTCGGGACCTTAGTCCCCTTCCTCCCCCCAACCCTCCCCTTCTTCTCTCTTTCCTTTTTCGGGGTTTTCCTTGGTGTGTCCCTGGACGCTTGCGCGTAGCTGGGAACACTTGTTTTTCGCTCTTTTTCCTCTCTCCCTCCTCCGTCCTTCTTCTTCCGTCCTCCTTCTTCTTTTGGGTGTCCCTGAGCCTGGATGCTTTTGTCATAGCTGGGAGCCCTTCTCTTCTTCTCCTAATGTGTCCTTGGACGCTTGTGTCGTAGCTGGGAACACCTTTTTTTCCCTTCCTTTATTTTTTTATTTCTTCTCTTCTCTCCCTCCCCCTCCCTCCTGTCGGGACCTCACATTGCGACGCTACTAGGGGCTCCTGGCCTTACTACTAGGTGCTAGGACGCTACTAGGTAAGAGTGGCCTCCCCTTGGGGAGGCGTGTGTGTGTGTGTGCCCCTTGTAGTCACAGGGATCCTTTCGGATTGTGTTTTTGTTTTCTTTTGTTCAGCAGGGGAACGTCATTGTGTTGACATCGCAAGCTGACATGTTTGTCACGCTTGCCAAATTTTAGGCCCAAGATCGGGCGCCAAACTTGACCAAATTCAAGAGACACAGGTGCCAGGGATGCACACTGGACTGGCACCAACGAAGACGCCAGTGTTGCATCTGTGAAATCGATTTGGGATGCAAAATCGACGTACCTGCATGTTTTGACTTGGAATTTCACAATGGTCCCTGCTTTTAACTACAACAAGATTCTGGCCTTTGCACCGGTTCTTCATCTGCAGACTTTGCGCGTTCCGTCGTCCTTGTCGATCGATCGTTTCGTGACTTTACAATTTGGAACCCAGAGCTTTGGAGGCTTGAGATTTACTCTGTTTTCTTAGGTTTTTCACTTAGGCTGGCGTGTGGCAACCGCTTTCAGTTCCGTACGCGCTGTGTCACCCTCCGTCTCTAGGAGTTTCTCCCAGTTTTCCTGTCTTCCTTGTTAAACAAAGCAGGGGGCCATCCCCAGTGGCGGATGGCCAACGAAGAGGCCACTGGGGAGGGCTGTAAACGTACTTGCTGAACTTGTGCAACGTTCTCCTTTCGGTTTGCTTCTCATGGTGGTTCTCATGCTATTCCCCTAAACCTTCCCCTTCTTATTTGTTAAGTATTCAGTAAAGTGTTAACGCGTCAACATTGTTCAACATTTCAATTCAGTTAAGCCGTCTTGCGCCTTTCCGTTCCCTCATCCATTTCACTGTGGATTATGGAAACTGCAAACCCTGTGACTAAGTGTGTGTGTGTGTGGGACGTGGGTGTTCTGCTTCTTTCGCGGCTAGCAACCCGAATGAAGATCATCGCATCGCCAGTGTCGTTGTGCAAAAGAGTGGCTTTGGAAGCATGTGTTGTGACACCTGAATTTGGATCAGGCGCGCCCTGCTGCGTGAATCAAAGACAGCTGTTTAAAGGCAAGTTCTGACTTGGATGTGTCCTTGTGCGAAGAAACCAAGCTGGGCAACCAAAGTTCGAGAATGACAAGAGCGAAGGGCGCCCGGGGCGTGAGCAGCCGAACAGCCTTTAAATTTGGACTTGAAAACCAACTCGTGAGAGGCTGGGACATGGATGTGCTCAGGTGAAAGACCGAACGAACCCATGCAACTGACGCGGGGAAAAAGGATCACCCTAGGGCCCTCGCTCGATCGGGAGGCAAAACTCCCTAGGGGAACATCTCGTCCTGCATTTGCCTGTCTCGACCTTCCACGAAGCTGTATAGTGGTAATCGGCGTGCCATCTAAATCGTTTGCACACCAAAACACTCAGTGTAAGGACTCTCCACCGCATAGCGGTCCATTTCCTGAACAGCTGTGCGAAGGAGCTCCGGCAACTTCAGGACAGCCGAATTCTGGCACTCCACGGCCAGGTTGAGAGCATGTCTACGCCCGAAGCGGCCTTCTTGTACTCCTTTGCTTTGACGTGTGCGGCGTTGAGCTCAGCTCGAAGACGTCGTAGACAACGGCCTCTTCCTTTTGGACTGGACAGGCTCCTCCTCCACCGCGTAGTCTGCATCATTGTTTTTCAGTTCTGGATGACTTCGGTGTTCGCAGGTGACAAAGTTCTGCTGCAGACTCTCCTGCAGTTGCCTTGTAGTGAGGACGCCAGGTAACTTGCTACCACGGCGTCGACGTTGTGAAAAGCAACAGAGTGTCTTTCTGGAGACATCCAACGAAGTGTTCCTCTAAGGGACTGCAGCATGACTCTGATCTCCAGTGACGCACGCTTCTCGACAACCGAACTCCATACCCTTCACGATGGTAAGGGTCGTAAAGGTCTTTGGCGTCTGTCACCACATTGGTTCCTGCGAAGAGGGAGCTCCCTCCAGAAGAGTGCTCCACTGTTGGTAGAACCCGCTCTGGACCATTGGCCTCAAGCAAGCTCTTGTTGAGAAGCAGGATGATGTAGCAAGCCGCGAAGAGCCATCACTGCGTGTGGCCAAGGCAGGATCAAAGAAACGTACCAGTCTGAGATCCTCCGCGCTTCCACATCAGGTGAATGTCGGCGTGCTCCTTGCGCAAACGACGACAGTTGGAGTGGCAACTTTGAACATCATATGTCCACTGAGAAGCATGGACTGGACTGAGCCGCTGGCCACTGCAGGGGTCCCAGCACACCTCAAAACCATGTGAGCTCTCGCTCTGGCTGCGCTTCTTGTCCTTCACTTTGCTCATGTAGCTGATCTAATTCAGATTGTAGCCTGTCATTGAACGCTCGCTGTCGCGGCACGCAGGCAGGAGCAATTTGATTTGGCGCGCGAAACTGGTACTGTGGTTGCGCTCGTGCTTGAGGTTTAGAGCGTTCACTACAGACTGCTTGGTGGTCTGCAGCCTGGTTGATTTCTGAGCAGGGCCAGATGCCATCAGTATTCAAGCGCATGGCACCATATCGGCGATCAAATTCAGCCTGAAAGCTGGTGATGATGAGCTTGTCGAGCTTGTAAGGCCTCCTGCGTGCCAAGGGGGCCAAAAGCTGTCGGTGGTGCTCAATCAAGTGGAAGTCCCAACCAGTGCCCAATGAGAACTACTCCACATCCATGCCTTAAGCTCTCTGCAATCTCCGGTGTGTGGACGTGGCCACCATCCTTACAGAGTTCTTCTCCTGTAGTGGAGTGATGTTCTGTTGAGCGTGGTGGCAAGTTGCATTTCCCATAGTCCACAACGCATGCTTGGTGAGCCGGCCATGGTGCAGCCCGTTGGCTATCAGGTCTTCTCCACATTGTTGAAGTCAGACAGGTAGAGATGGCTGCCCAGAACTTCCTCTGCGATTTATAGAGTGAACAAGGCCTTCGTGGGATCAGGCACCGAATCCATACACAAGTACACGTCGTGGCAGCCAACCATAAGGCTTCAATGAGCCGGCCCCTCATCATGCTGTCACCCTGACTGTCAATCATCACTGGCAAGTCAGCTGTGCAACGAGCTTGCGGATGCATCACCTCCACACTGAAAACTAGCATTGCCAGCTTCGTGTGGCGCAAGCCAGACCGATTGTCTGTGAACGCATCATTTTCAAGCCCATCTCAAGTCGTCTGCTCAGGGATGTCTGCCTCCTTCTCCAATCAGCGTTCCAGCCACCCTGCTTATAGTCTTGAGAGGCAGTAGGCCTTAAGCACAGCAGGCTTCTCCAACGTAGGAGCCTTGAGTGAAACCATCTGAGCCATCGGACGCTGTTGTTTTCTGGTGCGGCCTGCGTGTCTCAACAAGTGCCACCCTTGGACTTGTCCAAGAAGGGTGATGTTGTGCGAGGTCAACCTCGGGTAGGCCTCATCGCGATCAGTGACATAGGCCAAGAGACTCTGCGGAATGAACCCTTGGCGCACAGCGTGCAGTGTCAATTAAACTAGCTTCTGCGAGTCTGCTGCTTCCTTCACGAGCAACGGCTTATGATACAGCGATATGCCAAGTCCCCCTGCACGCTCGAAAAGGATGCACAATCTAGGGGCTTGACAGTGACACATGTGCCAATTCCCCCTGCACGCTTGAAAAGGATGCAGAATCTAGGGCTTGACAGTGACACATGTGTCAGTGCGTTTCCAAAACACATTTTTATTGATGTTTGATCAATCCTTTTGTTTCTCAGAAAGATGTTCTCTCAAACAGGAGTTGCGAGACCACGCCGATCCCAACATTGTGCGCGCCTTAGGCGACTTAAAGCAACTCCGACAAAATCCGGCAGTTCTTCTTTTTGTGGTTCGCGATGCTTTTGGATAATGTTTTAGTTTGTCAAGAACGAAACACCTAAACTATATATATATAACCTCATAAATTTACGTGGAAGTGGAAGTGCATTGCACCTTTGGGGTTGTTGATCGATTCATGCCGCACAGAGTTGCTGCTTTCGCATGCCTGAGGTCATCATGCTGGTGGGCAATAAAGGGTGTGGCTGCACAGAATATTCTAATTTTGCATGATGAAGGATGCATTGGTTTATTTGATGGCACATTGACGGGAAAGTTCGGAGGTTCATGAATTCGTAGGACCCAAAATTGTTTGCTTGCACGTACCTTAATGCAAGCCCCCGGCTGCACTGTTTGGCTGAATTCTTGCGATGCGTCCCATCATGCACTTGTTTGCTCTTTTTGAATGCCTGTATCGGTTAATGCTATGTGGACATGATATGAGCGAAGAGCTGCACCCAGCTCGGGGAACAAGACGCACGTTGTTCACATTGTTGGGCACCTTGAAACATTTTTGTTGAACTCCTGTTTTTCATGGTGTGGGAACTTTACATGTGAAGTGTCGCCAAGGGACCTTCGCCACTTGAGGGCAGTTGGGTGGCTGCACTCAGAGTGTTTTCTTGTGGTTTCCTGCGCACAATATTTATTGACATGTAGAAAGATTGAACATTGAAAATCATTTGGACGATTCAGCTGCCCGTGACAATACTTTGAGTTCAAGAGAAAGCAGCCGGTTCCACAGCTCAGCCAACGAAGGCATCCATCACGAGACAAGCACCCACATGCAAAGTACTGCCCACTCACCAAAGCACACTACCAAGACTTGACCAAGTATCATCAACATCATGATGTCAAGCCACGAAACTAACCCTCAGGCAGGATGAGGCCTTGGCCTTTGCTGAGAAGCACGGCCTTGCGTGCATTGAGGCGTATGTTTTTCCCCGCGCCGTCTCAGTGTGCAAGATTGGGTGACCAAACGTCACACAAGTGTCGGTATTGAGCATCGTTCGGAATTCCTGCAACAATGAGGCCACATGTCCCTAAAAAGAACAAAGGGTGAACATTGCTTAGCAAACACTGGCTAGAGGCACTCTAGAATGTTATGTTTTTAACGTCTCTGGAATGTGACAAAGATAATGCCAGAATGTCATAGCATTTCTTGCATCATGACTCTGACTGTTTCTCTGAGTTGCAACCAAGTGCAGCTCAGAGCACTGTGTGATGATAGATGAACCAGCGGGTGCCTACCACAAATCTATATCGAATCACAATTGCTTTGGATGACAGTCGTCGGGTTTTTCTATGGAAGTGTTTGCGAACTTCTTTTCATGAATTGGTAAATGGTTGGATGCACCTGAGCAGTTCCAACAACATATCGTAGCACTTCATGAAGCGAGTTGAGCTGTTTTTTCGCCTTAGCCGTGCTACCTCGGACCCGAGAGCACTTTTTGCAGACTTCTGCCCTTGAAGCCACCAACGTGGAGACAGCCTTCATGAGGTGGGAGCACGGTTTGCAGCTTCCTTTTTTTGCTGAGTTCTCTTCTCCTTAAGTATTTTCTTTAGACCTTTCCCCTTTCTGTGTTGAAGTCAGCACTTCTCTTTCTATTGTTTCCGACAGCTTGACATCATGAGGCTTCTGTCTGAGATCTACACGTTGATGAGCCTTTGCCTTTGGGAAGAGTCTGAGTGAGAAGATAGATATTCAGATTGCGTGAAGCAAGACTTGAACACACCTGGGAGGAGCATAGGCTTTAAGTGTGGGTTGACTATATGACGTGCTGGGACACAGTTCAGAACTGCGCCTGACTTGCCGCTGAGCATGTATACTGTAGTATTTTGTGTCAGCTGAGGTTCCAGGCAGATCACTGACGCAGATTCCTTCCGGAATGCCCAGCCTGCCATGCAGGTGAGCCAACAGACAACATCGATTGGCACCGGAAAGAGATTTCTGAGCTTTCACAGAAAGAGTGCCGGAACCAAAAGCACATGAGTGGCGCATGGAAGAATCGAATGTTCCAACATGTGTTATCTCCGGCTGGTGCAGCAGAAAGCAAGAAATTCTACTTGGTGAAGCATCCTCAAAGAAACCATTGGTCTATGTATGTTGGTTTGCACCTTTGTGGCAGTGGTTGGAGACTCCCACTCGGATCATGACTTGTGGAATCTGGAACGTGACGTGCCAGGTCGAGCCAGTGCAAGCAGCCCCCAGCCGTAATGGTACGCTGAACGAACACAAGCCATGTTTGAACAATCAATCAAGACTCTCAAAGCGGACTTTCACCACCGTTCCTTTTCTTTGCAACTTTTTGTTGCTTGCTTCCCAACTTGTTGCTTGTGCTTGACCAGGCTGCTGCCCCTGATGGGTTGGTTCCTAATGGAGTGGCGATGCTGGAATTTTCATTCTCGCATGGCTGTCTCGAAATAGCACAATCGCAGCAAAAGAGGAGAGTGCACAGAACCTGTGTTTGGTTTAGACATTGGTGTCCTCTTTCCTAAGGCTTCGAAGAAGTGATTGAAATCGATGGGCGCACGTGAATGGATGTGCGGAATGTCAATGGATGCTGATGGTGCCACAGCCAACCGGCAAAGCGCTTATATAGCTGGAAAACCCGTAGTCATGTTTGATACACCCGGCAAACATGTCATTGGATGGAACCTACAAAAAATCTGGCACTGTCAACACTTACTGTCTGGCATGAATGCAGGATGTCAGCTTCACCAAATGTGAATCACAGAACCAGTGGATTGGACTGCTTTAAAGCTGACAGTTGCAAGGCCCCTGGTGGGCACACCGGCATCTTCCTGCCTTTGCAGTTCGCAGTGCTGTTGATGCAGGGTGCTGCCATCGGGAGCAAGAGGGCAGGCCACTTGAACAGTTTTAGGTAGTGGAACTATATCATTGGGCCAAGTTCTTCAAACTTGTTTTGATGGTCATGGACAAAAAGGCCTTCAAAGCTCTTTTGGATTAAGTTCTGCAAGACCTAAATTGCCGGAAACTGACTCCGACGCGATGCTTGAAAATCGACGTGCACGCTCACGAAGGAAATCGGTGTCCAGCGCATTCCGACCAATGATGATTGGATGCGATTGGGGATTCCTGTGGAGTTTTGGTCGAGAAAAACAACACCTTTTAGTTGCAATGCAAACACAGAAGTCGCCACTTCTGGTTCAGACACTAGTGTCACTATTGAAAAAGAGCTGATGCGGGTGGGGCCGACCAGGCTGACGTGAGCCAAGGGTTTGTTGCCCTGTCGAGAAGCAAGCATGCAAAGTACTGGAGTTCAAACAATGAACTGCCTGAGATCGTGAGAATGTTGAGCAACTCTTGTAGATATGAAGCCACAGACATGAACGCCTTTGGGGACACAGCACACAAGCTGCAGCCAGATCATGGAGAGTGTTGTCAATGCCGTGTCTCGGCGTTTCGAGAGGAAGGTTGGGAGCTGCCTTACAGCAACAGCAAGTATTTGAATGAACAGTTATTGAAAGGCTGGCCATCGACCAAAGAGCATAGCCTTCATGTTGTTTTGAAAGAATCTTCTCTATGTAAACTTGGTGCATGCTGGATTCACTAGTGCGCAAATTTCCCGAATTTGGATGCTCTAATTGACACCTTGATGTACCTTGTCAAGTGTTTGGGGCAAAGAAGTTGTTTCCGTTCTACATGAGCTTCTGAGTCTCCCAACCATTTCAGAGCAAGGGAAGGTCAGCTGCAAATGCCACATTTGTGCTCTTGGTGAGTTAGCTGAATCTTAAGGTTTGGGTCCACTGGTAGGGGGTGCGGTGGGAAATTGCCTGGCCTGCGAAGTGGTAAGCTAGTTTTAATATGTTTCTTTACTTTGCTTTTCTCACATCTCTCTACTCAAATCCGCTTTTGCCTTTATTCTTCAGAGTTTGCTTGTCTAGCAAGGGGCCAGGACTCCATGGTGTGCGCCCTGGCCAACGAAGTACCTGCTTTGATTTGATTGTTGATCCTTGTTTTTTCATGGTAGTTTATGTACTTGAAGTTGTTGTTTTGTTTTTTCGCTTTCCGATCCGACAATTTGAGCTTCTAGAACCCAAAGTAAAGCTTCAGCTGTTTGACTCCTGTGTTGTTTCTCTAAGTCTCTGCAAGTGGATGGCCAACACTGCATCGTAAACAGGTTTACCCAAGTCGTTGAGGGTGGTTCCAAGGTTACTTGTCAAAATGTCCATTGATACTACTAGCACTTGCTACTACTACGCCAAAGCTGCTCAAACATGATGTTCAGATTTGTCTCTATCTCAAGGTGTCGCTGGCAGCCACAGCTGCCTCTTTGGTCTCTTGGCCACAGATTGTGAAAGTGCTGGGGGTTCAGTCAATTCAATAAGAAGATGTCCGATGAGTTTCTAAAGGGGTGCCACTTTTCGAGTTGTGTATCTATTCTGGAGTCACAATTTTGAGGCCTTAGACGCCTCCACAGATGCTGTGGCTCCTCTTTGGGCGCAGTTGCAGCTGATCCTGTCGGCTGCTTTGCAGGTTGGGAAGAGTGATGCGTGGTCACTATCTGTACTTTTGTTAATTCTGGACAGACAAATCAAGCAGTTCTTCCTTGGGCTAGGCTAGTTTCATCTGCCATCCGGCAGCATCCCCTCGACGATTGACATATGTGTTGATGCCCAATCACATGCCGTTTACCGTCCCTTGGACAACGGTGGCAGGTCACTGAAGCGTTCTGGCTACTCTTGGGTGAAGCTCTGGGACAGGCTGTGCGAGCGGTGCCTTTGCTGACCAGAAATGAAATCGGACTGAATTATTAGTAATTAAATCATCTCACTTTGGGCCTTAACTCCCATGTGATCTTGGCCTAGTATAGTAATTATTAGTTTCTTATATGACCTTTTGGCAATTTGGGCTTTGCCCTGTCTGGAGTGAGGTGCTGACTCACCCCAAGCTGGCCGTTGCGGTGATTGGGGTGCCCGTGGTATCAGTGGCGCTAAATGTCGGCCGATGGTGCCTCGGTGTACCTGTTGAGATGGGGAGGCTGGGGCTAGACTGACTAGACCTCACCATAGGAACATCCAATCATACTAGGAACAAGGTTCGCTACTAGGAGCAAAGGGCATCGCTACTAGGAGCGAGGACGCTACTAGTAGCTCCTGGCCATACTAGGAACAAGAAGCTACTAGCCCTTTTCCCACAATTTGGACAAGCATTTGAAGACAATTTCCGTAGAACTTTTTGTGGCTCAAGATGCCATGAGCCGCCCTTTGCTTCTACAGACGGTGCTTGGCAGTGTGTGTTTGCCGACCCTACAGCGATACACCACCGCTCTTTGCACGGTTCGCACAAACTGGCGCTTAGCCTCACTTTTGCTGCAGGAACTTCGGACAACTTACCTGGAAGCAAATGACTTCAGCTTTTCTGCAACGATCAGCGCTTATGAGAAAGCGGCTGCTGGGCTTCCAGTTCTAAGGAATAGCAGATAGGACGAGTATTGGGCGGGGTTGTGCAGTGCAGCCCACAGCTTGTTTAGATGTAAGTTTTTTTGAGGCACCTTTTGGTTGCTGGGCACTAAAGGTGCAGACCTCCCAAAGGCATCCCGAGCCAAATTCAGGTACTTGATTTATATTGCGTGGCCTAGGACCCCAGGTACATTTGGTAGGGTCCTTCTGGATTCTCGTAGAACAACCCCACACATGTTTGTCGCCCTGGATGGGCTTGCATCTCGAATCTCCTTGATGAACCCAAAGTGTCTTGTAACCTTGGCTAACTTTTGAGTAGTTTGGGGCAATTGGTACCAAATTTGTACCGAGTCTGACTCCAAGGCCAAATGGCTTCAAGCACTGAACTTGCTCATCCAACATCCATCCATTCCCTCTCTGAATATTACGTGCGCTGCCTGCCGTCAGAGCTGGAAGATGTCTTGGCACCTACTCAGGGCACAGGCAGCACTCTGGTGTGGCTTGCGCTTGGATGTGGTGAGTGGCCTGGCCCAGTGACACAGTGTTCTTTGTGCTTTGCCTCGATCGTTGCCTTTCGCTATTTTGTCCTTTTTAAACTCCTCGTTGTTGTTCTTCACGGAGAAGACCCGAGGCTACAATGCCACAAGCAGTGCATGCGAGAAAGGTGTGCAATGGCCCAAGGCTAAGCACTGTATACATCGAATAAGAGTGCTAGGGCTTTGAGCCATTGGATAACGCTGCTCAGACACTCTTCCAACTTGCACTCCAATAGTAATAGGTCAAACGAGTAAGAGCGCTTTGGTTGCTTGGCCCTTTAGGCCTTGATCCTCCTGAAGGACTTGGACCAGAGACTCCTGCAAGCTGATGTGATCACATGTGATTCAAGCATCAGTGCATGTGAAAAGGCTGCCAAGTGGCTAGAGGCATTGGCACTCCTGGAAGACTGTGCTGGATCTCTCGAAGCTTCTGTGGTCACTTATAATGCCTCGTTAAGCCAAGAGGCTTGGCAGCAGGCGCTTGAACTCTTTTGTGATGCTCGAACACGTCAAGTCTCTTGCGACCTGGTGACGTACAACACAGCAATGAGCGCGTGCGAAGGATCCTTGCAATGGCAGATAGCATTCCAACTCTTTCCCTCTCATTCCAGCTCTATGTCTGCAGACATCATCACTTATGCGACCGCGATCTGTGCCTACGAGAAAGTCGCTCTCTGGCAACAGGCGATGATGTTGTTGGAAGAATGCGCCCACCGTGTTTTGAAGAGCGACGTCGTTGCCTGTAATTCTTCTCTGAATGCATGTGAGAAAGCTGCCCAGTGGCAGCAGTCGATTTGTCGCCTCGTTTGGATGCGCCTCCTGGGTTTGAAAGCAGATGGTCGAAGCCACGATGCAGTCATCAGCTCTTGTGAGAAGGCCTCTGAATGGCAGCCGGCCTTTGGGATCTTCACCGAGGAAGGGTGAAATGATTCATAAGGTCAAAGCTCTGCACGACAGCCAAATAATACAATCAATCATCCGTCCAAAGCTACAAATAGATTGTGAACTGTGAGCCTATGTTTGCCAAAGATACTTCTACAAGGTCTCAGATCTGAGGTGTTTTGGATTGTTTTGGTCCTTTTTCACCCCTCTCAACTAGGTGATTTCCGAGCAACATAGAGACTCGGTCTCTTGAGTTTCCAGGACGGTCGCCTTGTGTCCAGTAGTGCTACAGGGAGTGCTGCAGGGAAGGCATCCGTTTGGCCTTTGGCGTCTCTGATTTTACTGTCGCAGAGCCAGGTGAGACGTTTGCAAGCAGATGTTCCATGGTGGATGCCCAGCTCGTTTCAGCGTAGGGACCCTCTTAAACACAGCGTTTTGTGCTAAGAATGGTTGGTTGTAATGATGTGCGCTAAGAATGAGACCAAGAATCAGAGAGGTCCATACGCTTTGCTTGCCCAAAACCGCCAAGGAACAGCTCATTGAGCGCATGTGAAAAGGCATCGCAGTGGCAGGACTCGCTTCACTTATATGCTCTCTCGTCACAGCAGTTCCTAGAATCTGATCCTGGCCCGGTGGGTGCAGCCTGTGCCCATGTCTCTTTGTGGCGCCATGTGCTTCAGCTGCCGCAGGAGGAGATGGTACTTGGGGCAGCCATCACTGCTTGCGAAAAGGCAACAATCAGAATGAACCAGTGATACTTCGGACGTGGTAAGACCCGAATTGTCCAACTTGAGCGGGAAAAGGGGTGATGTGCGACCTCTCTGCCAATACCATGAGTCCGTGGTTCAACCAACTTGCCCTACAGGTACACAAAGAGCAAAACGTTACAATAGCTTGATAAACACAACGTGCTGTTTCTTGCAGCGTTTCTGAGGCTCATCAACCTCAGCTGGGAGCGCGGTCTCCGTGACTCACGATCCGGGCGCCTGCAAAGCGCAGGGCGGCGCCTGGCAGAGGCTGGTGATGGTTTTTGCACTATTTCAGTGGTCAAAAGGGATGCAATTTTCATGGTTTGATCGACTGGTTAGCTTGCTTTTTCGACCAGGACCCAGTGCTTAGCATGCTTTCCTTTTTTTGGTCTATAAAGTCGCTTTGCTTGTCTCAAGAGTACAACCCGCTGTTGGGACACGCTTTGGCATGTCCTTTTTGAGGGATGTCTTGGATGCAGGTGTCGTTGAGCTACTCTTCTGGCGAGTCCGACATGGACGAGGCAGGCACTTTGTTCCACCTGTTCCGACCGGAAGAAGCACCCTTTTCGTTGAAAGCGGCCTTGAACTCATCCGATCGCTTCTTGAGGCCCGCTATGAAGAGGCTGAAAAGGACGAGAGAAGTCCTGATGAGAAGGCTGATGCTGCGCGGCCAGATCCACCTTCAATCCTATCAGTGCTCCAGGAGAAGCGTTCCTTCACTGAAGCAGAATCTGATTTGTTTGAGGCTCCGCGGGCCTGTAATGGCACGCGCTTGTAAACACACGAAACAGCAGGGCCCTGCGAGTTTAGGTGCTTTCTTTTTCCGCGCCTGCCAGTCGAAACACACTTCGAAATCGGGGCTTCTCGGAAGTGCATGGAACTCCGCACCTGCCACGTGCTTTGCACGTCATCAGGACACTCGCACACGCGTGCAAATGCGTCGTTATTGTATGAGAATGTCCATATTATACTGTATTCGTGGCCTTGTCCTTTTTGGGATACATACTTGGCACGTAATGCTGCGTGCCATGGGGGTGACACGGAAGTTCAAGCAGTGGCTTCCGTTGAAGAGAACTCTATCTCAGAGAGAGGTCCAGCAAGGGACAATGCGAGTGAAAGCAAGCGATCACTTTTCCGTGAACCTTGAGCCAATGGCGTCAGTCATGTACATAGAAGGTGAAACCATACAGGGGTTAAGTCTAGTAGGAAGCAGAAGCAAGCACAGGGGGTGGGTGGGGTTGGGGGGGCTTGGATCTCTCCGCAAAAGTTCTTCACCTGAAATTTGCACGATCTTTGCTGCCTTCGCACGGCAGGCATTGTTGCTTAAAAGAGGTTGTTACTCAAAGTAGTGGCAACCGGCTGCCCTGCTGAAAGCGAAAGCCGTGGAAGATAACCAGGCAGAAAGCGAAGCTACGACGAGATCACACGACGAGACTAGCTCGGTAGAACTTCTCCCAGCATGTCACATTTGACTCAGCTGGCAGCTCGCTAATGGTTGACGAACTCAGATTTTGATGCTGTTTTAAAGCATGGTAGCTGCACTTACAGGCAAGCTGCGCCGAGACTCGCGTGTCGGGCGTCTGCCATCCGAGTTTGCGAATGCCAGTTGTGACACTTTACAACTTGAAAAAAGAGCGCGTCGGAAAAGCGCTGCAAATACCATGCAAGAGTGATCCTGAAATCGTCGTGTTGTTGGGCGCATCTTTAAGCGACGGCTCGCCAGTGTAAGAACTTTTCTTCCCTTAAAACCCTCAAAGGATTCAGCCCGTTCGCCGGCATGGTCACCAACCCAGACAGGGCCCGCGTTACACTTCTTTCCCCAGCAAGCAAACCACTAAAGCATATACTCTCTCTCTCTCTATATATATATACCCATCCATTACTCTCAACCACTCAGCCAATCAACCACTCAAGGCTTCAATCGTCAGAAACAGTAACCCGCCAGTCCTGACTGATCAAAAGTGGGGTATCCGATCAACCAACCCAACACTTGACCATCAGGTCAACCAACAATACTCAATCAACGCATGCGTCCAACCAACCTTAGCAAATTTGACACAAAAAAAACAAAACATGTCTTGGAGCTTGAGTTGACCTGCTTGGTATGATCCACATGTCAGCGTCCCAAGTACCAGCAATAGCGAATGGTTGATGGAACGTTGCGCTTCAGCCAATGTCTGAGGCTTGTCGCTGATGAGCTTCTTCATGGGCGGTTTTAGTGGCGGCACCTTCTCAAAGTCAGATGAGTGCTTGCAGTTCTTGGTGCAAAGAGCAGAGGCTGGCGGGGCAGCGAGGGCAGCGAAAGCAGGCGGCCAACGAGGGCGGCCTTCGCTCGGTTTGGGTCTTTTGTCGAATTTGGGTTCTCCACTTGACAAGGGCTGGCATACAATTTGGTGACACCTTTTGCAATTGAAGCAGCGCAAAAAGATTAGCCTCTGCAAAGGGGAGATTCTTCTCGTGGCCCATCCAGGATGTCCAATACGAATCAGAAGAGCTCGTTTTCCAGCAGGGCACTGCTCGATCGGCATTCCTGGTGGTCAAGCAGGGCGAGGTGGGACTTGGACGCGCCTGTGTGTGCTTATCGCCGTTGGACTGAGAGAGAGCCTTTGGCTGTTCCTTTTTGCTTGACCCTTTTTTAAAGATTTTCCAGCAAGGGAATGGGCACTTTGGAAAGCGCTGTTTCCATCGCGTCGTGATATGACTTTGGGATGCCAAAGTCGCACTGAGATGATGACTCTTTACTTCCTATTGGGGCCCGTTGCAATTAGAACAAGAGACGAGCCTTTAAATCCATGGTGCATTCTGCAGGCGCGTGCTCGTCCACGGTTGGACGGTGTTGCGTATATGTATGTGTATATATATATATAATGGAAGCCCCCGCACCGCGTCCCACGCGGTCGCCGCATCCCACGCGACCTTTCACTCGCCGGGCCTCAAAGTCCCTGCGCAGTCGCTCGTTGACACTCCTATTAAGTGTTTTTGTACACGCTTCGAATGGTGCTGCCGGGAATGACAGACTGGCTTGCTTCATGATGCATTCCGCGGGCACGGAAATAGTCGACCAAATCTCGCAAGGCCGGTGATCCACTCTGGTAGTGAGACTGGCAATAGCTACGATAGCTGGCCAAATCTTCGCTCGTGCCCTCGAACATCTCAGCATAGCTCTTGGAGCCCTTGTACTTTCCAAAGGACACCGCCGTCTTTCCCCATTGGGTGATTGTCAACACCCCATGTGGCAAATCGCCACCTGGACCTGAGCTAGGGATCAAGGTCTTCTCGGAAGGCATTGGCGGATCAGCAGTTGTATAGTAATAGCCAGATCCGTACACCACTGGTGTTGATGGAGCCCTGTCCTCACGCAATCGCTTTGATCCATCCGACATGGAGCCAGAGAGGGAAGGAGACCAAGCTTCGCCCAAGGCCAGATCCTCAGCATCATGAACGCGGTGCATGATGGCATCCCATGCGCCGCACTTCCTGGCCTTCATGGTAAGGCGACAGCACTCTTCTGCCTCAGCTGGAGTGAAGGCACTCTGCAGATCCAGCGGACATCGCCATGGTTGTTCCTCTGTCACAAGCGAAAGGATGACACAAGTGGCCGTCGAGAGTCGGAGAACCTCGTTGAGCCATGTGTCCACATATCTTTAGCATCACCGCGTGATGAGAACGTTAAGGAATGATATACTTCAAGCGCATGCTCTATGGACTGACCACTAATTGTATCAAGGCAAAAACTTAATTATGCATTGAGGATCACACTGCACTTCTACCTACCATTCTCCCAAGATGACACATACCCGCTATCCTCAGATCGAGACTGCGACTTCGAGCTAGAGGCGAATTGTTTTCGTCTATCACGTTCTTGGGCTCTGTGCTGCAAAACAAGCTCCTCTGGGCTTATTTGGTATCGTGCGGATCTGAGGCAGGCTCTCAACAGGTCAAACGCCTCTGGGTTTTCTTTGGTTAAAGCGTCGGCCAACATCCGGTTTGTCGGGATCCACCTTAGTGTTGCTTGCGTCCGACGAATACTGTCCCTTAGTATGACGATGTCGGTGGCGGTGCGCCTATCGTCCAGGGTGGCGAAGACTGGGAGTTCAGGCGGTCGTACAAAGACCTGCAGTCGGTCACAAGCATAGTGAACCGGTTTCCCAAACTACCCCATAAGCTCTGTGGGCATCTAGAGCCGTCTAAGGCCTCTGAAAGGATTGAAAGGATGAGATTGGTCCATTCCAACATACTTGATGCTACAGACATGCTCTGGGCCTCTGCGCTCAACGTTGAGGATACAACCCTTGGTAACCGGAAACGCTTCCAATATGCTGGGGACCATTGGCAGTCTTTACCTAGGTTCACATCTTTATGCACAAAGCTTACGATGAAGTCTGCTTGAGTCGCTCCTGCTTTGGCGTTCGCGAACGCTGCGTCCGAACGACACATGAGAGCCAGATCACTAGGACTGATGGCGCAGAAGCGAATCTCTTGATCCGAGTGTTGCTTCGCACGTCGGACCGCATGGTTCGCAGCTATGGCATCTTCTGCACAAGGTTGTGGGAAGGACTGTTGCGAGAAGGACACCTGAGTTGCTAGGTCCGGTCTGGATTGATTTGCTAACCAATTCAAACTGCCATTAATGGCTCTGAGACAACTCACTTCTGATTCTTTGGCATCGAGTGCAACGTCTCGAACGTCTCGAACGCGAGCCCTTTCCCGACTGAGGTGGAGGGGTCTTACCTTTTCCTTGGCAAAACGGTTCTGACTCATGGTGATTTCACGTGTGTTGGGATCCTGAAAGTATTGACTACCACAAAATCCCCGGGCCCTTTTCTCTATTTTCTGAATTCGAACACCCGTTGAAGCTCTTGGATTGCTGCCGAGTACTTTGGTCCCTGTCCTCCGGTCACACAATCATCAACGTGAACTCCATATATACCGGTCAATTTTCCTTCTTCCCGAAAGTAAAAGAGACAAGAATCGAACCGAGACCTCTCGAAACCAACCCGAATCAGCTCTTGATACAACTTCTTATACCAGGCTGGTGGCGAGTCATTCAACCCGTAAACGTGTCCACAGACCTCTATCAGGGCGTCCTCGGGAACCCCGGGGATTCACCCTTTTGGAAGACTGGCGTAGAGGGGTCGGTACCGTTGTGGCAGATCACCTGCCGCCAGGAATGCTCCTTTGACGTCTCCCAAAGACATGCTCCAGCGAAAAGATGAAAGAAGCTGAACAATCAGATTACGTCCGACCTGACTTAAGGTGGGACTCTGAAGATCACCTTGCATGGCCTTCTCACTGAGATCTGGGTCCAAATGGCCCTGAAGGCACCAACGTGCTTTCATGCGTGGCGCCGAGTCATCTTCTTGCTTCACGGTGATGACGTATCTACTACCCATGATTCGGTCACTGTGGTGCTTACGTACCCCTCAGCTTCAGGTCCCAAGACTAGTCTAGCTGCATGCAAAAAGCTTGGCCTCGTCGATCTTGATCTGGATTTCGGTCGGATTGCCTGACACGGGGAGCTCTTTGGCAGCCTTCTTTTTGAGGTATGTCGCTACAAGAACTTCATGTGATGTTCCTTCACTATACATGGAGATCAGTTGATTTTTGTCCTCTAGACAAAGATTAGGGGTCATATTGCTGTTGTTGCAAGACCTCGACCGAACAGATGGCTACTTCATCCTTAGCGAACGTACTGCCAACTGGTTCTACGAGAAGGCTATCATCCATGTCATGTGCGTGGTCATGTGCGGCTGAACGTTTGCCTGCTGGTTGCTCGGCACCACTGGTGTCTTCGACCCTGCGCTTTTGGCCCCTCTGTGATTCGACTCTGCAACTCGGCTCAACCGGTTCCGAGGCGGATGACACAGGTGGTGTGGTTCCCATGGCTTGTTGAATGAGCTGAGGAACGATCTCTTGCATCATATCTTGGAAGTCATCTTGCGTCATACGACCCGGCCGGTACAGAGCGGACGCTCCGTCCTTGTGCAAAATGCGCCGTCGAACTGGCCGGACAGGCCCATAGCCTGTGGTTGGATCCACCGCGTCAGCATCAGGTGGTGGCTGTGGGATTGTCTTGGATGGCCTAGTGTCAGGCAGCTCCTCGCGGAAGGTTGTGGCCTTGTCTTCTACTCGAACCTGTGTGTCGTCATTTCCCAACGGGGTAGATAGCGGAGGTGGACTCAGACCATCACTATACCCTATCTTAGTAGGTCTAGATGGCATCGACTGGGTGTCGACAGGACTCCCTTCACTGGTAGCGGAGCAGCATCTGTCTCCGGCATTGGCAGCTCGCTCGGATAGCTTTCTGGAACAAGATCTATGTACTGTCGGCTTTCAAGTTGTCCGGCTTCGATCAGGTGTTTGATTCCTAGGAGTTCCATGTGGGGTGTTTCAACCAACTTTTTCTCATCATGAGTGGACGGTCGAATTTGTTCTGGAGCACAACGGAAAACCTGTCTTTTGTGGATGACCACTACGTTTCTGCCAACATAACCCAAAACCACGGCAGGCCCATGCCAACGTCCGGTCTTATCCAGTGAACCGTGGAACCACTTCTGGGATCGCCAATAGGCGACATAGGAACCTGGTTCATGCATGTGGTTCACCCTAGGGCGAGCGGCCAAGGCCAGACGAAGTGCCTTACTATCCTGCAGTTCTAGAACTGCTTTTCGGGCTGACTGGCGGATGGCAACCTGTCGGGCGACAGCTTCTTCATAAAGAGATGATGTGGCAGGAACAATCTCTAATGGTTCGTCCAACAAATTCTCTGGAATTCGAGGGTTCCGGCAAAACAAATTGTGACGGGGTCATGCCATACACCTGGATCAACTGGTTTTTGCAATGTTCTGCGCTGTGACGCATTCAGTCCATTCCTCTCGGTTGGAGGGAGAGTGCTCCGACAGGATGCGATCAAGCACGCGGGCGAACCAACCCCCGTGCACTTCGCACTTCCCAAGTTGCCAGTGGGCATCAGCAGCTATGAGCTTAAAAGAGGCGCCACCCTTCGAGAATCGACGAAAAGGCGTCGGCCAGATTCGCTCAATGAAAATCGCAAACGATCTCCTGAGGCATGCCGGCCCAAGACACCCACCTGTCTAGAAACACCTGTCTCAAGACTGAAGATGACTCCCGTTGAAAAATGGGAACAACAATTTGCAACGAGCTAGCGTAGTCTATCATGTTCACTGCAGGGATCCGTTGGTTCTGTTCCCAGCCTTGGAGATGTTTGACATCTATGCCTACCAAGGAAGTGAACTCTGTTGTACGATGTACATGAGCAGGCAGGGCTACCTTTGGGCTCTTCTGGGCTAGGCACTGATCACATTGGAAAGCTCGGGCAGCATTCAGCGCGGCTTCGGAAGCGCCACCATGTTTCAGGACTCGAACCAATTGTTGATTGGTTGGATGTCCCAAATTGTTGTGAAGTCGTCTCAAACTAGTTTTGACTTTGTCCTCGCTCTCATGGTTCAGTTCCTCCAAAGACTGGGCTACAAGGCACTCCTGCAAACAGTCTTCGACCACAATGAGAGACTCAGTCACCGGTAACCCTTGTGTCACACACAACACGGCTTTGACAAAGGCAGGGGTGTATTTGGCAGCATGTTTGCTGACAGCACCTACCGTGCGATGATGTCCGGCCACTGGCTGGTGACATCGATGGCTCTCATGTGAAGACCCAGGACATTGCTTGGCTAGACATCTCATCCGGTCATGCGAGACCAAAAGGCGGGTGGATTTTCGGATCAACTCTCCGCCTGGGATGCGCAGTCCATAACAACACATGTCTACAGACACTAGGTGCATCCGTTTGGTCAGCTGTTGCATGGAAGGAAGATGCCAAGCTTCCGAGTCTCTTGGGTGTTCAAACATGCATTGACCTCCATGTGCGAGCTGGAGTTCCATGAGTTCACAACAAAATTTGATGAACAAACGAGTCCATGTTTCCCTGATTGCCACTTCTTGAGGAGTCATGTACTGTCGATTCAAGTGCCACCATCCTCCCGCCCACGTGCAGGGAGGGCAGCAAACGAGTAGCTTTGGTTTACTCACTTGAACATGGCTTTTCAGTGACTCCCGATCGGCCTTCCTACGAAAATCCCATCCTGTGCACAGATCTGCCGACAGGACCCGGAGGCCCAACTTACTCCCTTCAAGACCAAAACGGGGTGGTGAGAACACTTCGATGATGTCATACCGTTCTGTTTGGTCACGGTCCGGCGCCTTGACTTGAGCGATCAACTGCCGATGTTGCTTGGCAGTCCATTGCATCAGTCGGAGTCGTTCTTCCTGGGCCAGAGGGATGGTTGGCGGTGGAACATGTCGCAGGAGTCGAAAGACTGTCTTGCCAGTCCAAGGAATTGCATCATGATGGGCATGTGCATTGAGCGGATCAGTCCAATCATCTTCAAGGTCCCTGACTGTGGAAGTGGGATTGTTCACATGTGTGTTACGAATGTGTTGGAGACGGTCGATGGCGACCGGGCATTGTGTGTTATGTGGTGTGAAACTGGTGGTTCGTGGCTTGAGGTGACCGGATGAGCGCACGGTCCTTGGGCCTATATTCCCAGTAGTCTTTCATCTTTACAGGTGAGTGATTATATTCCACCGAGAGGCAATTGTCTTCTATTGGATCATCAGGCTGCGGCTCGAAACCAGGAAACAGACGGGAGGCCTGTTCAGGAAATGCCGTCACATAGATGGCATACTGGCCGGCAGCATTGACCTCCATGGGAATGTTTACCTTTCCAGCGAACAGGGTGAGGCTGTCATTTGCGAAGTCAATCTGAGCCTGCAACTTCTGCAAAGCAGGCCGAGACAACAACAATGGGGCCGAGCCCTTGACGATGGCAGCTTTGATGTATCCAGGTCGACCGGCCAGATAGACCGGCATGTCAACCACAGAGGTGCTCACCTCCTGTTCACCATTGCCAAAACGAAAGCTGTTCTGCTCAGCCTTCTCTTGTGGACAAGGCGCGCCGTGTTTCTTCCAAATGGCCTGAAAGGACTCGAGAGTCGATCGGCCAACGATCGTCTTGCCACAGCCGCTGTCCAGAATTGCATATCTGGGACTGCTCACCAGAAAGACCTCGATCTCGGGGCAACATTCAGCTGTACAAACAAAATGCTCATGCGCCGAACTGTCAATCACCTGTACTGCGCCAGCTGCATGACTGGAGGGTGCACCGGAGTGTGAACCAGCTGAGATATTGGCTTTGCGCTCACGCTGCCAATGTCCAATCTTGCCGCACTTGCGGCAACGTGTTCTCTGCTTCAGCTCCCGACCTGCACCCGGAAAGATCTTTTGAAGTCTTTGCCAGCTGGGGCTCCTCGTCGACTGTCGGGCGGGGCGAACTTACGCCCCTTCTGAACCATGTTCAGTTCGGCACGCTTCTCCCGCCAGGTGGCAGCTAGAATTTCTGCTGCTTCTTCTTCTTCAAAGCCATCCTGGATGTAGTCTTCGGGCAGGCATAGTTGAGCCCTCCTCAAAGCCGTGTTCGGCCAGAAACAACTCAACGTCCTGGAAGGAATCCTCGCCCGTCGGTTCATTCGACGAGGCAGCAGTGAATTCCTCCACCATGTGGACAGCAGCAGACCTCCGCTTCGGCGCCGCATAGTCGGGGAACATGACCGCATGGATTGAGCCAACTGGTCAAACTTGAGATCTCCTTGAGCTCGAGCTAGGCATACAGCACGTTGTTCCTCGGCCATGCCACTCTGATTCAGCAAGATCCACCCTCTTGCTTCTTCTGGGCACTTGACGCCAGTTTTACGGGCACACTTGTCGAAGCACTCACGGGCTCTTGCACACCATTGGCGAACGGTCTCGCCTTCCTTGGCCCGCAGTCCAAACACATCGGCGATGTTCTCGCCGATCTCGTCAGTCCTGTCCAACTCAGGCCGCCGGCGATCCAACAACTCAAAAAGCTTCTTTTCTCCACCCTTCACCTGGTAGTAGTCTTCCTCTTTGAGGTGCTCGACTCCCTCAAGAGCACGGCCACACAGGAGCGTCCAAATGAACGATCCTCGTGCCTCTTCAGCCAGCTTGTCCACGGTGCGCATTTTATTGAGCGCCCATTGCTGCCACCTCTTGTACTCACGATGGTCGCAGTCTTCTCCACTAAAGTACCTCAGTCAGGTACCCGCTTCCATGGCTGCACAGTCGCACAGCGGTGCGCGTCCAGCGCGCCCACCAAAAACAACCTACCGGAGCCAGGTATCTACCTAGACCTGGCTCCGCTACCAATAATGGTAGCCCCCGCACCGCGTCCCACGCGGTCGCCGCGTCCCACGCGACCTTTCACTCGCTCGGGCCTCAAAGTCCCTGCACAGTCGCTCGTTGACATGGGGTGAAGACCGCCCGTGCGGAAAGCACTTTGTGCTCCCTGAGCCGGGGTAGAACGATGCAGTGCTCAAAGGGTCAGAAGAAGTTACCGTGAGGAAACGATTGTTATTCCATTTGGGCAGCATAACTAACATTATCAATAATATGTTCGTTTCTCTTTCGGGAAGGCCGCAGGGGCAAGCGGGCACGATGTCAATAATGCATTCTCACTCGGGCAGCAAAACTAACATCGCCATTGACTTGCTCGTTTCTCATCGGTCTTTATAAAACTTCCAGAACAGGACATTCGAGAGCAAACAACCACCCCCCAAGCTAACACTTAATGAGCGATCTAGCAACTACAGTATAGCATTTTACGTGAGCTGAGACACATATATATATATATATACATAACATGTTTTTCAGGCAAAGTGTCCATTTAGGCTTCTGCTAGGCATTGTGCGACCTTCATACTCTTATCATTGAGTGTGTCTCTGAGAGCCCGGGGTGGGCCAAAGCAGGGTCCCTGAAGTGGAGGTGAAATCGCTGCACTCAAGCAGTTCCATAGCAAACTTTCCGCTTGGGTTGACGAGGTGGGGATGCAAGAAATGCGGGCCCCAAATCGGTGTTCATTTGAGTCCCTCGCGAAGGGCTCAGATGAACCCCGATTTGGGGCCCTGCTCATGGCGTATCAACTGGAGCAGGCCCTTCCATGCGCCGGGACACAGCAGCGTTTTACGCAAGGCAGAGTAGGCCACAGCGGTCGCAGCTTTCTGAACTTGAGATCGCGTGATTTGCGCTGGGCCGCTTTACAAACTTAGCCAGGCTAGGTCGCCCAGGTTTATCCAATGAGGTTTCGGTCTTGTTTTGTTTGACCTTCCCATCTGGCTTGCCCATCATCTGCAACCGCGCGCTTTCTTTCTTCCATCCTCACGTCCTTTCATTTCATTTCATTTGTTCTTTTGCCCGCGCATCTGCCCCGACCGTGGTGCGCACGTGCACTTGCACTGTGAAACAGGGTTTTTAGATACGATGTGGTTTTCTCTTCCTCATCTCTTTCCGTTTGTTTTCTCTTGCGCCCGCGTATGCTTTCATCCCTGCATTTGCAACCACACTGGCCATGGATGTCTTTCTTTCGTTTGCGCACGCATCCGTTTGGGCCTTAGTGCGTACGTGTACATTGTACATGTACAGGTAAACTAGGCTGATAGGTGCCCCATGTGACAACGAGGTTTGATGAGGTTTGGCTCAGCGGTTGTCCTTGTTCATTTGGTTTCCTCTTCATTGCTTCCGCCCACGTTTTTCCTTCATGTCCTTCCACTTGCCTAAACCGCTCTGTGTGTGTGTGTACACTTTGGATCCACAAGCTGTCCGTTGACATGTTCGTCACACCTACCGCGCGCAACGAAAGCACGGTATGACGAGGGAGAGGTGGACGCATCATCCACCTGCACCTGCAAGTTTTGACTTTGATTTTTTCTTGGGCCGCGTTGTGACTAGAACAGGTCACTGGCCCTTGCATCGGTTTCAGTTTGGCAGACACGCATTGCATGTTTGAGCTTGGGGGTTGACGTAACTTGGAAATTGACATTTTGGAATTTCAAGATTCCTTCAGGTTGCTGCTCCCACAAATAGGGACAGGGTAGCGGTTTTTTGGAGCTATGTGATTGTGTTTGGAGGAGAGAGTGAGACGCATACATATATAGGTTTGAGTTTTTGTTTTTGCCTGCAGTGGCCACTTGTCTACCAACTATATAATTGGGGCTAGAGACATGTTGTGAGGGAGAGCGCCTTCAGACTTCAGGTGGTCGTAGAGCACGGCTGCCGCTCTGCAGATGTCTACAGTCTGGGGCCTGGCAATGCAGTCGTTGGCGGCTTGGACTGAGTGTGTCTTTTCGGTATCCAATTGCGTGTTGGCATTGCAGGAAGGGTGCTTATGTAGCATCTTATTGGTTTTGTAGCGGATATTCTGCAAAGTAGTCAGCGGGCCCTTTTTGTCCCCGACAACACTGGTTGTTTTTCCCTGGATAAAGACCACATAGATGCAATAAGTGCAACATCAGCAATATATACAATATACAGACTAAAATATGACAATCGACCAAACATTGAAATCATGGCTTACATAGATGTGTAGATCGTAAGAAATAGTGTCAAACCTTGCAAGACATAGGTTAACCGAGCAAAAAAAACATGCAAAACACACAATTGAAGCAACGGAGGGGCTCACAGTCCACAGTCCAATCACACTCGCCTCCCGCCTACCGGACAGAGCCAGCAGGTCAGCAGGTATGCTGATCCTGCACCTACAGAATGGGTGTGTATTGAAATGAGAAAGACCATCGAGTTTGACCTCTGGGAGAGGAAAAGTAGACAGACTAAAACCTGGTTTAGATCTCCGTTGCATGCATGTCCATATTTAGGTTTGACGGTATTTGAAGCATCCGAGCTTAAAACAACTCAGAGACTTGAAGTTGAGTTCTTTTCAGCGGCTTTGAAGGATTGCTCTTCATGCTGGCCAGCATCAGCACCACCAGCAGCTCTGCCTGCAGCGTTCACAGCAGCTCGGCCCGTGCTGGGGCCCAGGGTGCCTTGGTCACTGCAGTGCCCCTGGAAGCGTTTCAGGACGCATTTGAGAGGCGGGAAGTCAAAACAACGTGTTGAAGTGGTTGGAACACATGTTGTGCTCGGGTTTCTTGACTGAAAAAGCAGAAGTTGCAAAAAAGTCAAGTGAAGGAAGCTGACAAGTCTGATCACCCTTTTTTGTTTCCACACCAGGTTTCCCAAGGCCATGCAGCGCTTGGTGCAGCGACTGTCAGTGCGCTTTTCCACTGTAGTCTTTGACACGCTCTCTACTTACTTTGGGCTCAGGCACTGGTTGACTTGGTCACAACAAGTTGAATCTTCCACCCTTGCCAGTTGAGTCCTTTCTAGTTTGAACGGTATGTTTTTGTTTCTTTCAAGTTTGATTTGTTGTTGCTGTCGGATGCCGTGATCGTTTGGGTGTCCAAGCTTGAAAACGGCGCCATGGGATGTTCCAGCTCCACTTGTGAGCCTCCGCGTGGCGGCGGCCGTGGCGGTGGTGGCCCTGGTGGCCATGGCCTTGGATCTCATGATGAAGTGGCGGCAGAGATGTACCACCTGGAGACCTCAATGAAGAATCAGCCTTCATATCAGGACACTTCTAAGAAGAGTGTCTTGAAGGAAGTGCAGCAGGCGGACATACATGCAACGTTTGAGAAGCCCAAGAGTGAAGACAAAGTGACAGCGCAGGAGAAGGTAGAGGTGTTTCTGGAGACCGTCCAACGAACGCCATACGTCCTTGAAATGAAAGTCCAAAAGAAACGCCGCAGAGATTTTGGGCCTATGTGACTTTTTGAGTGTGCAGAGATAGTTCAAAGAAGGCACTTCCGTGGACAGTAGCCCTACTTGGACTTTTGATCTCACGTGTTTCAATTCTTTTTCCACAGCTTTCTTTCTTGAAGGGACAGAATGCCAGGCAGCGCTTTGCTGCCGTGATTGTTGTCTTTGTCCTTTTATATGCTGGAAGCTTACTGTCAGCTTTTTGAGCTCCGTACTCGTGCTTCCCACTTGCTGTTTGAAGTCCGGGCTGGTGCTAGTTGAGCTGAGCCCCCCAAACTTTAGCTTGTCCAGAGAGCTTTGTAGTGCTCTGGATGCTGTACCTCTACCTTTGGATGCTGTACAGCTGGATGTTTCACGTTTCCTTTTCAGTGCAACCGCTAAACAAAGGTTCGAAAAGGTCGAGTTTCGCCTGACAACTGCACGTCATGTTTGCTGCAAGAAATGTTTTCTGACATGCCAATGCGGTTTCCGTGCTCCTTGTGAGGCATGAATTTATGACTTCCTCCACGTTCAAAGCCAACGAGGCGATTCATCACAGCCTCGATTGTGTGGTAGGAAATATTCCAGATATGTCCGGGCATCTTGTACACTGTACACTGCTTTAAGTGCCACAAAAGAGAAACTAAAGGAGCTGCAAAACCTGTCTACTTTGAACAAGGATGCAAAGGAAACAAGACACCGGAGGTGGAGGCAACATAGGCAACCAAACTTTTGTGCAAGGCACGAAATTGAAAATGCAGAGGGTAATTAGAGAGATCACCAAGCCACAACTTTCAGACAGGGAGACGAGGAAGCAAGTGCAAATTATTGTGTGCCACAGCATGATAAATGATAAAGAGATTGGCAGGTAGGCAGGGAATTCATCTTTGGATAGAACTCATTTCCATGCAACAAACGTAAGTTGTTTGGGGAAAGGAGGACACGTGTCCGTTTACGCCAGAATTGAGAGGTGGACAACTATGCAAGTTGGGAATAAATAAGAAAGAGCTTGATTTTGTGAAAAGGTACGCCATCCCTAGTAGGTGGGAAGCAAGAAGGCAGCTAAGGGCGAGGGGACAAAAAGAAGCTGAGAGTCACCAGACCAGAGCAAACTTTGGCCACGGCCGTCACTTGGGCAGGCCAGGAGCCCCTAGCGTCTTTGCTCCACAAGAGGAAAAGATGAGAGACGCAGTCAGTTTGTGACAGCCACAAGGAACGACAAGTGGAGAGACATGCATTTCGTTTCATGTCACCTTGCACTATCACTTCGACAACACGGTCGCATCACAGGCGATGCTGGGTAGTGCCCAAATCCCCACATTTTTTGTGTAGGGTTCTTACCTTTATGTGCCTCTCCTCGCCATCCTGCCGCTCGCTCTCTCTCTCTCTCTATCTCTCTCTCTCTCTCACTCTCACATGCAGCCACCCACCCACCGTTGACACCTGAAGGTTTGGCTGGGCCCGAAAGGGACTTGTTTCCGCCTTGACCAGTAACATTGAACAGTGTCCGCTTGGCATTGCGCTGCGGTATTCGAATCAGCTCACTTCATCCTGTTCTTGGCCGAGAATTTGCCACGGCCTTCGGTGCAATTGACTCTGTCAGATACTGACTCTGTGAGATGTTGACTCTGTCAGATGTTGGTGTTTTGTGTACCGTCGCAAATCTTGATTTAAGACCAACCTCGACCGAACATTCGAGAAAACAAGCGCACTGGGGTGATTCCTAAAAAGAGCATCAAATGCTCACCTCAAAAGTTGCAAGCAAGACCGGCAACGTCACCAATGTCGGGGCCACAACCGCTTAGTAATTAAAAATATAATGCCCACAGGCAACTGTCCACCAAAGGTGTTTGAACCAACATTCAGAAAGAATGCAGGCGATGCCAACAGCCACGAACAGCACTACAAGCATTACCAAACATTTGAACGACACTTCAGTACATGTCGTGCAGGGGCCAGCGTGGGCCAACCTTGGTCGTAATTTGCATTGGAAACAAAAACGCTGGCTGCAAATGATGTGGTATGACCCGAAATGTGCCTGGCAAAAAATGTACTGTATAGCTTTGAAAGGCGAAAAAAACTATTTGTGGTGGACGCGGTGCTCAGACAGCGATTTAGGTATGAAACCTTGTTGGACAGTGCCCTTGGGACTCTTTTGATATCCTGGCAAGTGCTACCAGGTGCGAGTGGTAATGTCCACTGGAGGCTTGAAACCAAACAAATATATATCCTCTCTCTCTCTATATATATATATATATTTTTTTTTTGAGAATAGTTAGGTTCCTTCGTGATTTGCTGGCACAAGGGGCTGTGGAACTGCGTGCACAGCGCTCCCTCGCGCAGACGGCAGTCGCCAATGTCGCTTCCGAAACCCTGCGGCATACGACGCTTTGGGCGCCCTTAGCGCTGGAGCAACCCTGGCGTGGACCTCTCGTTGTAGGGGATGACAAGAACTCGAAGTCTCGATCCCTTCGGTGACAAAGTAAACACGTTTTCACGCACGTCGTAGCGGTATGGTGGCTACAAGGGCCCTCGTGAACCCAAAAGCAATTGAAAAATCATGAGTATTCACAATGTGCATTCGTGACATTGACACGGGAGGAAAGTCGTTCGCTTCGACCCATCTACGGCCGTATCATGTCTCAGCGGAAAAAACACTTCAAAATTCAGGCCCTGGCAACTTTCAGTCGCGATGCGGGTAGTAGGGGCTACAGAACATCCATGCTCCATGTTGTCGTTCCGGCAATCGAACAAACTTGTTTCTCTCGACGTCCAAAGTCAAAGGCGTTTGGATCATCTTGTCTCGCACTTCATAGTCCAAACACCTTTTCTGAAGTCTTTTGATTTTATCCAGACTCTCGAGCTCTTCTCTGCTGCTTCTTCGCAAGTATGTCTGTCTCAATCATGAAAAGCAGTCGATCATCAGTCGATCGTTGTAAAGTCGATTCCACAGTCGAATCTGGTCAGAGGTGCAATGAATGGTGTCTTCAATGTCCAGCCATTTCTTGTATATTCGGCAGCGTGTGTCTGTCCAATTCTCTTGGATGATGACACCTCTAAGCGCCGGGTCAATCTGTGTGTTGTCCATGTTGTTCACCGCCTCATACAAAAATCGTTTCCAGCGTCTTTGGTTCACTTCATTCTCCACACTCTCTTTGATCAGGTTCCACCTGATCCATTCAGCTTCATTCAATTCTGGGTCATCGTTCACAGACGAACTTCCAGCGTCGCTCACTCTCTCATCCCGCGCCAGCTCTTGTTCTCCTAGATCGCCATGCAACGAGTCATTCTCAGGAACCTCGTCATACTAAGTGTCGTCCTCATTCACACTCATGTCAGCATACTCAGGCTCGACCTCATCCTCAGGCTCTGCATCAAACTCTGGCTCTGCTGTTGCTTCATTGGGGATCACACGCCTGAACACGAACTGGCCAAAGGTGGTCACAAACACATAGATCTTGTAGGTCACAAACTGCAAACCAATAATAATAAAAGAGAAAAACATCACAACCAACAAAGCCCACCACAGGCGTTCATCGTTGAAGTTCACCTCGACTCATCGGTTCCAATTCTCACAGCCTGAACTCCAACCTTGCTCATAGCATGAGTTGCCAAAGTTGCCACTGCTACTTTTGCGACCGTTTCCCATAGATCTTCTCGAAGACCTCGGCGTTGATAGTCCTTGTAGTGTCGGCGGCTGCAGTAGCGATGATGGTCTTTTTTTCTCCAGTCAGGAGCTTTCCACAACCGGGCAGCTGGCAAATCTCTTTTGGGATCTTTGTGACCTCCAAAACATCGCCTTCAAAGAGTCGCAGGGCAGCTTCATCAAGCTCCTTCTCTTCATTTGCTATGACCTCTTTGGAGACTTTCTTTGCAGCTGTGAAGTTGGGATCGTACCGAAGTGCATGCACTCCTCGTTTGAGGATGTGAGCGAACTGGTCCTTTGCACTTGGCTTGGTTAGACCATCTGCAACCTGCTGAGTGGAATCGACCCACTTCAGGTAGCCCAACATGGCATTGAGTCTCTCCTTCACGATGCAGACCTCGATGGCTGTCCTCTTCTCTGTCAGTCGAAGTCCTGCCGACACTGAACGGGCTGAGTCGAACAAGGATTTTGCATCTGTCAACGCAGGAGTCTGTCCGAACTTTCTCAACGTTGATTCTTCAGCTATCGGAACTGTGGGACAAACCATAGTTGCAGCATAGATCTTTATCCAGTCGGTCTCGTCGGCTCCGGCAGCGGACTGCGCTTCTGCTGATAGCGATGAACGACACATTCTGGTGAGTTTCTTCGAATGCCAACTCCCCAATGTCAGTGGAAAAGGTTTGCCAACGAAGATTGCATGTCCCCCTTGGGATGCTCCATCAGGCCTGATGCCCCAACTGGTGTCCATGTAGACTCCAAAACGGAGCTCAGCCAAGGAAGTTCCATGACGTCGAAGGATGCAGTACACCTGCACCACTTTCTTGGCAAATCTCAAGAGCTTGTTTGCCACATTGATGTCATTGACCGTCGGGGAACTGGAAGAAGCCTGCAGCAAGGAAATCGAAGCCGATAGCTGAGGCAAACACTGTCCAGCTGGCCATGCTAGGGCGCCCATCAATGCCCTCAACATTTTCACCTTTTTCTCCTCAAGTGGCGAGTCGCTGATGGTTTTGTGGCTTTTTCCCAAGGTGATGGGCTTGATCTTATGGACGTACTCCTTGAGAGACAGGGTGATCACATCATTGTTCAAGCTTTGCTCAATGGAAGTTCCACAAAACAGAATTGGTGAATTTTGTCCAAAGTCCAAGAACCGAAGCGAAACTTGTTGGCCAACATCTGCAATCGCTTCTTGAAGAACCACTCGAAATTTTCAGCTTCCGTGGTGACAGCTCCTGTTGCGTCTTCGATGGAACTCACTCCTTCTCCACATCCAAGAAAATCGTCCACGTGTAGTCCCAGAATGCCGTCAACGACAAGGCACACCATCCAGCATGAACACCTGAAATCATGATCCTCACTGTACGCTCTTCTCACACTCAAGAAAACACAGTTATCCAATGGATGCACCAAAAACTTTGCCTCCTCCAACAAAAACTCTCGAGCCGATTCATACCACTGTCGTGGAGCCCGAACATCACCGAAAGCCAGTTTCGTCGCTTTGAGCAGTACCCACGGTTTCAGGCCCATCAAACGTTCAAGTCTTCTCCTCATTTCAGCGGTTGGCTTGATGAAAATGCGGGTTTGCACATCGATCGACTTTGATTGCATGAAGGCACTCTTGACATTTGCAGCAAAGACTTTCCAACCAAGCTGACATGCCCAAATCAAAATCAACATGCGGCCCGTTCGGCTCAAAGTCGGTGACTCACCATCAAGCTCTTCAGTCAAAACGTCCTTGTGGCGAAAGCCCTGGAGAATGACCCGGGCGTTGGCCACTTTCCCAGTCTTGGTGGGCTTCCACCTCTGAAGGAATCTGGCTGGTATAACTTCACCTTCACGAGCTTCCGACTCAGGCACAGCTTTCCATGCAGCGTTGTCGAACCACACCTGCAATGCCTTGTCCTCAGCCAGGTCGAACTCCTTTCTCTCTTCGGCACTCAGCTTCTTCTCGTTGAAGGTGTCGGCCATGAGCTCTTCGTCCTCGTCCATTTGTTGACTGCTCTGCCAATGTCTCTGGAAAGCAGGATCATCTTGTGCTACTGGGCCCATGCCATCAAGCTGTCGTGCCATGTTGTAGGACTGAAAGGCCTGCGGTTTTTCGTCACGTATGGAAGGACTTCTGGAGCGTGCGCGCTCTCTCTCTCTCTCTTCTTCAGTCTTCACTTCCTCCGGCACATTCATGTCTTCTTCTTCTTTTCGTCCTGCTCCACCTTCTGTCTTTGTCTGATCTGCATCGGCCTTCATTTCATCATCATTCAGCTGTTGTCCTTGTCCTTGGTCTTGCTCCTGCTCCCCTGAGGTTGTGTCAATCTGCATTGGTGGCTCTTGGTCATGAGGTTCAGGAGGTTGCCATGTAGTCTCAACTGAAGGCGTTGCATTCGCAAAAGACGTACCCCAGAGGAAGATGAAATTGCAGGAGCCAGGTCAAGGAAGCGCACAGGGCCACGAACCGGTTGCAAAGCCTGTCAGATCTGCTCTTGTACTGGGCGATCCAGGGCAGTCTCAGGAAAGTGTTGCAACCTGGCCAAGCGCTCACGAGGAAGTTCCGCTCGGACATGTTCAGGAGCAGAGCGGACCCATGGGCGGCCCAATAGACACTGGGACGACAAGTGCCAGAATCGGTCACGCGGCGCTCGATTATGCACAGGATGGCAGGGCCAGCGTGAAGGTTCGAACTTTTGATCGCCTTGCCTCCAGTAGAAAATCCACGTGGCCGGGCAAGAAGTGAACGACGAAGGAGTGGATGATGGTTGGCAGCATGAAATGCCTTGGCTGCTGCAACATGGAGGGCCCGAAAGCCACATTCTCTTGAACAGCCACAGGTAGCTTGGGTCGAAGATCCACAGGCTCGTCCAAAAGGCCTTCCACTGCATTGGGAGCTCGTCCAAAAACCATCTCTGCTGGTGAGGAGCCATGCACATTGCAAAGACGATTCCTTTGCTCACATGCGACTCGAATTGCGGTCTCCAAAGGGATGTCGGGCACCTCCTTCTTCATCTTCAACAACTGAAGTCTCCGGACGGCATGTAGGCGCTCGATGGTGCCAAGCCGGTAGTGTGCCTCCTTGGGAACAAGCACCAGCTTGATCTTGTATCGTCCATGGCATCCACGTTTTGGCTCATGTAAGAACCTGACGCGTTTGTCTTCAATCGAATTGGAAAGCCAAAAGGCTGGAACCACAGGTTCTCCAAGATCTTGAGCCAACCTCTGTCTCACGAGGCAGCAAGGCGTTCACTTCATACTTGGAAAACAGCTCAATGGTGGCGAGGATCTTGACTTTTTCTTCACCCCACTTCATGTGAAAGGTGTCTATCTCGATCACTTCATTGAAATAGCTGGCCTCATCCAACAAAGAAGCCGGATGAGCTATCTTCTTCATAGCATCGCTTCGACAGATCTCACAAACATACTTGCGAGCACACTGAATCACTTCTTCAGGAAACTTGGGCATCTTTGAGGGCTCGAATCAGCTTTTCACGTCCTGGATGTCCAAGCTGACGATGAAGTTTGTTGACGATTTGGAAAGCCTTTCTGCCATGAGTCAATGAGTATTCATCAAATTCTTTTCTTCTGTCTGCACCGTTTTCTCTGCCTCTTTTTCCTTGATCACCTCCATCTCGTCCAACTCGTCGGCCACGAAGATCTTGAGCATCTCTTGATCATGCCACCCTTCCGCATATCTTCATAGATGGCTTCTGAGGCTCTGAGCAAGAAGTCTTTCTCATAGTTTTGCATCTTCTTGAGCTCTTTTGATCTTCCTTCCCTTCTCACATGCTCTCCTGGAGCGCACTTGCACGGAGATTCAAGGCCTCGTACACCATTGGACTCCTTGTCCTGATCCTAGTTGGTTTCTTGACTTTCCCAACCAGGCCATTGCTCAACTTCACGGTCAAACCAGTTTGGCATCGATCGCACTTGGCATCCATGAGGTTGGTCATGTCCATTTCTTCCATAGTCTTTGTTTTCCAAGACTCAGCTCCTCTTGGATGCTCCATACTAACTCCCAAGCCAGCTTCATCGCGCGCGTAGAAGACATTTGCCACGAACTTGAGGTGTGCTTTCTCTTCGGCACATCGTTCCTTTCGTAGTGGTTCTTGAGCCTCAGGAGTCAATGCATTGAGGTTCTGCATAGTGGACCATTTCGTGCACGGTGGAGCCAACCACACATGTCCAGGTCGAATCCTCCGCAGCAACTTGATGAATGCTTCTTGAGCCTCCACCGTTAAAGTGGCCGCCTCCACATCTTTATGATTCTGAATCAACGTTTTTGCAAACTTTCCTTCATCCACGTAGACCTCAAAGAAAGTCATCTTTGGCTTCGTGTTGATGGCGGCCAGAGCTCTTCATCTTCAAATCCCAACTTCACCCATTCCTTGGTATCTCGTGCATTGATCTCCATGCTGGGTTCGATCTCCCAACACGTCTTCTCTTCTCTCACGATCACTTGGATCTCCTCTGGGATTGCCAAAGCATCTTCAAGCAAATGAGTTTCTTCCATGTGGTTGTTCTCGAACAGGTTCACGATGTAGTGTCCCATTCGTCCTCTCTGAGGCTTGAACCATTCGAACTTCATAATTCTCAGCATGCCCTTCTCATAATCCTGCCGGACTTTCCGCTCTTCTAGCGTAGGTCAAGCAAGAAGAAAAGGCGTTTTGCCAGGCACCACTGAGGCGGTCACAGCCACCTCTTGACCTTGAAGCACGACAGGGAAGGTGATATCATAGCTTGATCTCAAAATCTCTCCACCTCCAAACTTGAAGTCGCGTGTTGCTTCAGAGATCTTCACCTCCAGGTCACCCGCAAAGGACAAGGACCACACCTGCAAAGGACAACCACTCTTTCCACACGTCTTTACCAACTATAGTTCGAGTGGCACCGGAGTCGACAATAGCCCGCCTGGGTTGCAAAGCAGCAAAATCAACTGTAGCACTCTCCTCCACCATTGACACTTGTTCTTCAGCCACTTCTTTCACTCCATTTGCCTGAACGCGAAAGCGCTTGAAGCGAGGTCCATGAGCATTTGTAGAACCCGACGGTGTCGACTTGATGTCATTGATGTTTGAGCTTGTACTCGAACTTGTTGGCCGTCTCAACCCAGACATAGGTCTTCGGTTGTCGAAAGTCCTGCAGAAGCCACTCTTGCCTTTTCTTTTTTTTCCTTTTGAGCTCTTGCCCTTTGATTTTCCTCCTCCTTTGCCTTCGACTTCAGGTCCGAGGGCAACCACGGGGAAGAATCCAACAAGGCAAGCTCCCTCATTCGTCTTCTGTTGTCCAGGCAGGAGATGAAAGCTTCATCGATGGCGTCAGCAGCTTCATCCATTTCTTCGGACCATTCTTCGTCTTGTTCATAGTGTATCTCATCTTCCCACCATTCTCCTTCGTCGTCCTCATAGTAGCCTTCTTCGTCCTCGATGTCATAGTCGTCCTCGAACATGACTTCTGCATTCATTCCTCCACTAATCTTCATGAGATCTTTTGGGTTCGGCTTGTTGTCTCCACCGAACATTTTCATCAAGGCCGTGTGCACCTTCTCATACTCCAACTGGCCTTGGCATAAGGCCTTCACCACGTGAGTCCTGGAACACCTGCAGTGAGAAGGTGCCAGCCGGAGAGGAGCGATGGCACCGTGTCTCACCAAATAGGAGGTCATGTCATGTCCTCATTCTTCAGGCGAACTCTTTGCGCCGGGACCTGACGAAGGTGAATGGTCGAGTGCTTCGTTCCGCCTCAAACGAAATCTGTTCTGTCGAATCCCAGGCTAGGTCTTGCAGTCTGGAGATGAGTAGAAGTGCACCTTCAATGGCTGCATCCACGCTCCTCCTGTGACATTGTCTTTCGAACAGTTCAACTCGTCTTCGAAAACTCCTGTAGTTCTTCTGATTGAGCTTGCATGCCTTTGACAGTCCTGAATCCAAACCTTTGTAGCTGTTGCCACCTTGTCTGCCAGGTGACTCTCCATTCGCTCGAGGAACAGGAAATCGTGCTCGATCTGGAAAATCTTCATCTCTCGGTGTTCGGACTCGTCTCTGCGTTCTTCTTGGCGGCGATGTTCGTTCTGTAGTCCCTCCTGAACCACGGTCCATAATTGTCTTGCCGTACTCGAAGGGTGTGATGTTCACCTCTATGTCTTTTCACAAGATCACCGAGAGAACTTCAACCAAATAGATCACCGTCCAACTACTCAGAGTGGATCGTCTCCAGGTCCGCTACCAATCTCGTAGTAGGGGATGACAAGCCCTCGAAGTCTCGATCCCTTCGGTGACAAAGTAAACACGTTTTCACGCACGTCGTAGCGGTATGGTGGCTACAAGGGCCCTCGTGAACCCAAAAACAATTGAACAATCATGAGTATTCACAATGTGCATTCGTGACATTGACAGGACCTATATACTTGGTGAAAGACTACTGGGACACCTCAACTACACTTTAGTTTGCACACTTTTGCAACGCCGGCAGTTGGCGGATACCAATCGAAAGGGGAACGCGACGAGAAGGAGGAAAAAGAGAAACGGAGGAGAAGGAGGCAAGCGAAGGAGAGAAAGAGAACGTGGGAGGGCAGGGATAGAGGAACGAGCGACAGAAAGTGAAATTGGCACGGGCTAAAATCAAGTGGAGGAACTGGCGGAAATTGTTTCCACAGTTGCACAATTGTTGTCGTCGGTCCTGTTCCATCCACACCAGAAACAAGTGAGCAGGCGGGGTTAGCGGAGCTGCGGGAGATGAGCCCAGCAGAGGTGCAGATTGAGTGAGCTTCTTGGATTTTGAACGGTTGCAAGCGGCTTGGAGGCTTTCCGGCCTTTGCTGCGCTGTTGTGGGGAGAAGGGTGAAAAGGAGACTGAACTGTGAAACTTGAGGGAATGAATGAAAGATAGTGACATAATTACTACTAGGAGCAAGGACGCTACTAGGGGCTCCTGGCCTTACTACTAGTAACAAGAAGCTACTAGGGGCTCCTGGCCGTATTACAGGAGCAACGACGCTACTAGGGCCTCCTGGCATAATGCAGACTTTTCCAACACAGAATTTGTCAAGCTGTGTCAGTACATCGAGGGAGGATTGAACATGGACTATGCTCAGTGGGGCAGCAACTGCTGGTAAGTCAACTTCCGCATGGTGAGCAGGTTCTGCGCTCAATGCGGACGCTGCAACTGCTACGCGTTTGATCACTTTTGAGTGTAGAGGAGCTTGAGCGTGCAGAGAGAGTCTGCTGCGAAGCAGGGAACTTTGCCATTCCTCCGCAATCTCGGGCGAAGCATTTGATGATTCTCCTGGAAGGCGCACTGGGCCCAATTACTATTGTTTCCTGCTTGTCACTTGAGTACTTCTGTGGAGTTTGCTTCACTACTTCTGTTGCAGGTGATTTGGCAGTAGAGATACCTGGCGACAGTTCTTCAGCAAGAGTTTCGCCTGGAGATGCCATAGGCGAAACTACTGTCATCCAACTACTACTTCTTGAGTAATCCAACTTCCACCACCAGGTGAATTGTCTATCCTGACAGACAAACCATCGCCACGTTCTCAGATTATCCTTAAAGTTGCCGTGAGCGGGAAGAACAAAATATGATTCATGATTTCATCATAGATAGCGAGCATCTTCCAGCATATAGACTCTGGTTTCAAGGCTTGTGCACTATCGTTGCATCTCCCGCTGTACTTTTGCTGCGCTCTCCCGAGAGGCTCGAACTGAAGTGAAGGAAGCACAGATTGAAAAAAGAATCCAACATCACAAGCAGTATCTGTGTGGAATGGGTATTTAGTCTTGAGCAACCTGTGATCACAACGACTTGCCACAGGTTTGCACGCGGCTCTTGGAAGATTGTCCGCGAGACTTTACTCTCACGCTGTTGCATTTGATTGTAGGCCCATTGGGAACACAAATGGGCAAGGGTGTTCGCCTAGTTTGCTGCAAACGTAGCTGTAGCAATTGAAAGGGCCCAGCCTAACACCAATCATCGTCGAGATATACTTTGTTGACTTGATGGATTTGGGCAATTAAAAGTAGCTTGTCAAGCAAACTTTTTTGGGTCATCCGAAAGGTGCTCCAGCATTGTTGGACTGTGTTGACAATCGCAGGATGCTTGAATCGAAGGTAATCTCAATCTCCATATTTTGGTTGAAAGCTGTCCCAGCAAAATATTTTCATGACGCTCAGGCCGCACAGCAACCTGGTTGCATCGTGTGGATGCCTGCTTGGACTGGCTGACTGTTGAGGGCAGCAGTTGCCTCTATCGTCAGGGTGATGAGATGTCAGGCTTTTTCATGGTATTGCTCCTTGACTGAAAGTTGGTACCTTTGTTGGTGTTGACCGTTCACTAGTGCAGGGTTGGCTAATGCAGGTAATGTCAACTTGTACAATATGCACTATTGGCATTGTGTCGGTTAGCCAGACTTTAAATGCATGCTAGATGCTGGCTCCATAGTTTTAGAGTGAAGAGTATGAGGTCTGGCCGCCTCGTTGCGCTGGAAAAGGTGGCGGAGGTCAAAAGCAAACGTGTTCCAGGACCTTTGCGCGAGACCAGTACTTTGGCGTAGTAGCTTCGTGACTTTTGCGCAAGTAAGTAGCCGAGCAGGGAAGAAGAAGCGTTGCAATCTGTTTTTTTGATTTTGTCTGCTGGTCATCGCACAGCCTCAAGCTGCCTAAGGTCAAACAGAGCGGGTCACTGACCTGCTGCAACGTGGTCGCCTTTGTGGAGAACTGGAGATTCGCCAGCAATGCAATGCGGTTTATCATGAGGTTTGTCACTGCCTTGTGGATGAGCATTGTCAAGTGCCATTTTCAGTGTCACGTTTTTTGATCCAAGCCAACAGTCGCCTTTTCTTGATGGACTGATCACGTACCCACAAATATAGAGAACGATGCCTGGACCCCAGTAACTGTGTACCTGCCCAACGCGTTAGTCAGCGTTTGAAGTCCACTATGTTTCAGCCAAAGCATTGTGTTTGGGAGCATTGTTTTGCCCATCCCCCAGATGTCGTGGTCTTGGAAAACAATAGACACATGTTTCCCTTCATATCTCAATTGTCCTTCCTCATAGCGGCCACGAGATGATTGTGTTTGTTGTCTCCATTCATGCCTCCCATTCTCGCAGAATCACGTGCCTTGGATGGACATTCCAAGCTTGTCATGAATACTTGTCAGGGCTGAGCTTTCCGTGAATGTGACGCCTCACAAGGACTGCTTACGCAAAAGCTGCTACTCGCAAACTGTGCGTGCCTGCCGGGATTCTGAGCTTTGCCGAGTCTCGCCCACGCTGCTGCAGCTGATTGCAATGGATTTCCCACAGGCCAAGATCTTGAAATGATTCTTTTGCAAAGGGAACATCTCCATTCAACTGGTTGCTCTCGTTTAGCCCGACTTGTACAGTGAAGCTGGAAACAGGTTGCTTCTCAACAGGCAGGACTTGAGAGCAACTCCGTGCAGGCAATCCTTCACTTTAGCTCTTACATTGGCAGCCGTCCATCCCAGTCAGAGGAGGGTTCGGAAATTGGGAGAAGGATGTTTGGTTATGTGATTCGAAGACACCGCGATGATTGTGAGGTACACCCAGTAAAGTGTTTGCACTTGACAAAGCTTCTGTGTTTGTGAGGACGTGTCAAGTGCCAAGCACAAGACCACCATCACAGTTGTTCCTGCCACCGCAGATGTGGACATCCATGAAGTTTGCTCCAATCTCACTTCAGCTACTTTGTGTCAAGTTTTGGGTGCCCAATCTGGTTGGGTAAGGCAAAGAGGTTTTAACGACACAACCGTTGCCTTGGTGAGAGCAAGAAGACAAACACTGCTTAGCGTGGCAGAACTGTTGCCAGAAAGAAGGAAGGAAGGGAAGGGAAGGGTCGGGTCCAGCAGAGGAAATCACATAGTACCAAGAGGGAGGAAGGGAGGAGCTGTCGAGTGCCCACACCACGCTGATGCCATTTGACTTCCTGAGGCCCTTAGCAAGCTGGGCAAGACAATGCACATCTCTCCCTCCACGGACCTCTTCTTTTCGCCTGGCCTCAAGGCCTCTCAGAAATGAGACGGTCCAACAGGTCCAATTAGTTTTTGACGTCAAACCGTTGAGACCCGAGGAATTCTATATGCTTCTATCTTTCTTGAGCGTGTCCAGATGCTCCAGCAGAGTGTTGTTGTTTGGCAGCCTTGGGTCTTTTGGAGCAGTGTGCCCAAAAAGTGAACAGAAGCTGAACTTGGGTTTGCTGCGGTTTGCTTTTGTTTCAAGGTGGAAAGCCGGCCCTAGAGTCTTCGATGGGTGACACCTTTAAGATCATTAAGCCCACATGCAAGATTCACATGAAGCAAACATCCCCTGTACGGTCACCCTGCGGGTTGCCACTTCAGCGGTTTCCCAGTCTATGTTGCAACAAGATAAGCAGTTGCAGCTGCAGAAAAAGCGTGAAAAAGGGATGCGCAACGAGAGTCAGACCATATGCAAGCTGTGCTCACGGCAGGGTTCAGCTCGCAGCTTGGACGAGGGGCGCTTGGGACGGCTCTTGGCAGATATGGAGGCCAGGGTTGGTTTCATGATCAAGTGCAGTACATGAAATTGATCCTTTGTGATAGTGATTTCATATGGAAACCTGAAATGGAAGGACATCTTTAGCACTAGCAATCTAGAAGTCCAGGTCATTGACCTGTAGATGTTTGTATTCAGGAGAGGAGCCGCTGGCTGGTCTACGAGGCAGAGCCCTGTGGCGCCTCCATCACCGACCCCTGGGCCTAAAGGAATCCGATTTGGTCACTGCCAGTCTTTCAAGCACAAAGGAATTGATAGTCAGGATGGACTCGGAAGGACCTTTCAAAGCTTTTCATGACCGCCACTGGATCTCAGTGACCAAGGACTGGACCAAGAGGTGCGTCCGTCAAGCAGATCACATTCTGGTTGCTGCCAATTTTAATGGGCAGGGCCGAGGTGACGTACCACAGAGCCTTCCACTCAACACTCGGGAGTCGAAGTTTTGTTTGTCATATGTGCCCAAAACTAAAGGTGTTTCTACCACAGGGGGTGAGATCTTCCAAATGTTGAAGCAAATGGAGAATCGGTGCGCATAGTCGTTTCCTCCAGTGTTTCTTCTCTGGGAGACTGTCAGCGTTTCCGGGCCGTGTCAGTCGCTGTGCTGGAGCGTCGTGGAGCGTCCGAGGACTCCGAACGAACGGTATGTGCAAGACGCCGCCCCGCTTCTCGCCCTGAAGATCGCGGGATCATTTGATCGAGCGTCATGGAAGCGGGATCGAAGCATTTCGGCAAGTCAAACCAACTTGTCAAAGATCCAAGGGATTTTGATGAGATTTGGGGGTTGAAAAGTTAAAGAAAGGAATTGTTGCTGATCATTCATGTTGTTCATGGCCCAGTTCAAACAGAGTGAGTTGCAGATTGCCTGAGGCTCTATGTGAGCAGGGAATTGTTGCTGCTTCACAAAGGTGCTGGAGGCACAACAGAACTGACCAAGCCACTGGCCCCAGCTGATGGTAGGTTGAAGTACAGGTTGGCGTGAATCGATTCGACCTCTATTGCAAGTACTCGAAGATGGTTTTCTGCTGAATATGCTTTGGCTTGGTACAGGTCCATGTTTTTGGTCCCTCCCTCTTAAGGCTAATAGATGCTGATACTGTTGTAAATATTCTTAATGAATTCAAGGCCACTAGATCACTAGACAAAGTGATAGGCTTAGAGCTTTGTTGGATGCTCCTCTAATCCTCTCACAACATCCAAATGGCCGAGCCATTTCAAGTAGTTCAAGTATCCTTGCCATCTAGAACATGGATGACCTTGGCACAGGAAAAACATCTCAGCTGGCCTCAATGGATGATTGGTGGCTCGGAGCCCGTTAGAGACAGATGTTTTGAGAATTGTGCGGGCACAGGAGTTTTTGCTGGATAAACTATTAATGTTCACACCGCTTCGCGGTCGAAGCCGCCCGCACAGAGCAAAGGTAAAATGTGTGAGATGGGTCCGCAGCAACCCGTGCTCGCGGAGCCGGGAAATGGTAACCTGTGCTCTTGGAGCCGGGAGGAACTTTTGACCGGGCTTCGAGCGTGAAGAAGCAGTCAGAAGGCACAGTCATTCACACAGGGTTTATCATTCAGGCCGTAAAGGACAATATCCAGGAGTGGAAAAAGCGAGGGGCCACCAGATGGACGTTGGCGGGTGGAGCGCACGCAGTTTGCCAGGGGCTTAGCTGAGGAGGCGCGGACATGTTCGCGCGGTAAAAGAGAGACGTCCGTACGGGCGACGTCCTCAGCTGGGAATCTCCTTCTTTTTTTGGTCGGCGAAGGGTCGACACCTGTGCTCTGGGAGCCGACTGTAGTCACAACACTTGTACTGCTTCTTTCTGTCTTTGTCGCAACTTCTGTGGTTGCCCCGTGCTAGGTACGCCTTTTTTG